TATCGTAACGTAGCCCTTGAATATTCGCCACACTAGGGGTTGAAGAAAAGACTATACTCTACTTGAAGGTCCCTAAGTCGTATAGGTCCGGATGAACCGCTGGCAGTAAAATCCACAGTATGATAGTGAGATTAAGAGGATAGAATTTCGAGTTATGTTGCAGTGTAAGATGGTGGAATTCAGCAGTTGGAGTTAGTTTACTTTAGTTTACGATGGGCTATTTTCCGTAATCCCACGCCTAAGCGCGTATTTTGCGTGTGGGCAAGAAATGTGATTATTCGAGCCATGTAATCTCCCCGAAGAAGTTCAACAGTCCTTTGATATTGCAAGCAACTTCAGAGAGCGATCCCGGCATGCCCAGATGTCTAGCCCTGTATGCAGCGACCTCCAGACATGTCAGCAACACGTGGGCCGCCGTTTCTTCCTCCCCCATAAATGCCCTGTACAGGGGACGCTCTGTAACAGCTATGGTAAATAAATGTTTGTTAAAGGAGCCATGTCCTGTGATAGCACTTGTTACTATCCTGATCTGTGGCTTGTTCAGTCTCATTAGCACCTTGGCTAAATTATTGTATATTTCAGGCAGGGCCACCCTAGCTAGTCTACAGTCTACTATATTTTTCCAAAGCTGAGCGTGTAGATTAGTGAAGTCTCTACGTACCAGTGAACGAACGTTACCAAAGGGGATTGGTATTATTGGTTCCGACCCTATAGTGGCCAGAGCCGACCCTCTTCCGGCCAGTTCGTCTGCTGCATCGTTGCCTCTGGATCCACTGTGTCCCTTAATCTATTGAAGAGTGCAATGGATTAAGTAAGGTATGTAAGTAATGGACATTGCTTACATACCTCATTTAATCGTTGATGGCATTCACATATTAGTCCCGAGTTCACCACATTACAACCTTGGATGATACCCATACATTCCGCCTGAAAGACTGTGTTATGGGTACCCAGCGGTGTTTATATGTGGATATTAAGGTCTTTAGAGAAAGTCCCAGATCCTACACCTTCATTTGTTTTAGAACCATCTGTAAAAACTCTAAGCTCTTTTGGGTTTAATCCCTCCAGCTAGTCAATTTCATTTAATTATATCTTATAACATAATAAACACTCACGCCTGTCACCCAGAGGGGTAGGCAGAGACTACAGACTTCCATTTGGCACGATCCTGACACACCTCTCTCGCCTCCTTCACATCCATACACCTACGCATACATGCTCGTCGGTTAAGGGTACTCCTAATTTGGCCCGTTTTCAACAAATCGCCAATTTAATCGATAAATTTTCGCCTAGGACGTCCCTTTCCGACTCTGCCATTCACTTCTGCAACATAAATTTTCTTTGTCACTCTTTCCTCATTCATTCTTTGACCAAACCACCGAAGCATTCCTTTCTTAATCCTGGTCACAACATCATCTTGCAAACCACACTCTTCTCTTATTACACAATTTCTCACCCTGTCGTTCAGATTCAGCCCTAACATACTCCTTAAGGACCGCATTTCTATTGCGTTGATTCTACTCTCGTGCTTCTTCTGCCACACCCAACTTTCACTACCATACGTTAAAGTAGGGACCAACACAGCAGTGTGAATTGCCATACGTGCCTTTTTTGACACATTTTGACTCTTCACAATAGAGTGCAGGGCCCCATTTACTCTATTTCCCGCATTCACTCGTCGTTCTATATCCTTATCATATCTCCCATCCCTGCTAAATACGCAGCCCAAATATACAAACTCATCTACTTGCTCGATCAACTCCCCTTCTATTCTTATGTCACAAATCGTTTTACTTTCTTCTTTTTCAAAAACCATAACCTTCGTCTTACTTGCGTTCACTTTTATACCCCTTTCTTTTAATGACCTGTTCATAAATGTAACCATCAATTGGAACTCGGCCGCCGACGACGCAAGTATGACTTGATCATCGGCATACAAAAGGCATTTGATGGTTAACTCACCCATTCTTAACCCGCATTCTTCAACTTACAAATTTTCCAAACAGCTGTCGATAAATAGGTTGAACAACCACGGGGAAGCTACACAGCCCTGTCTGACACCTTTATGGATGCCAAACCAGTCCAAGTAGACCCCGTTGATTCTAACACAAGCACTCGAGTCCCTATGCAGAGACTTTAATGCCTGTATCAAGCCAGCGCTCAACCCAAATGAGTTCAGTGTTTGCCATAGCACATCCCTATCCACTCTGTCATAGGCCTTTTCCAAGTCCATGAACGCACAAAAAACCTTTTGGTTTTTGGCCAAAAACTTCTTCGCGATCATGCGCATGGAAAAGACTTGATCTGTACATCCCATTCCCTTTCTGAATCCCGCTTGCACATCCCAAATTTTTCCATCAGTTTCTTTCATGACCCTTTCAATCAGTACCTTAGCATACAGTTTTCCCACAATGTTAAGAAGGCTGATGCCACGGTAGTTTTTACAGTCCTGCTGCGACCCTTTTCCTTTATATACTGGGACTATCACGGCTTTGCACCAGTCTACCGGTACCCGCTTCAGTTCCCAGCATAAATTAAACAAGGTGTGCAGCAGGCCTACCACGACTTCCTCTCCAGCCCTTAGCATTTCGAGTGAAACTCTATCATATCCGGCAGCCTTACCTGCTTTCATGCTTTTCATTGCTTTCATTATTTCATCTATACTTATCTCGCTACCTCTTTCCTCTTCTTTCGTAGTTTCTACTTCACTTAGTACACACGTTGTCTCCTCACTCATAAACACGCTTTCAAAATATTCTTTCCATCTCTTTAAACTCAAAACTTCATCTTTCAGAATATAGCCATTCTCGTCTCTTATAACATTCATCATAGGCTGTTTTGAATGTCCCCTGGCAGTTCTTACAAGTTTCCAGAACATTTTAATATTTGCCTGGAAGTTATCCGATATTCTTCTATCATTCTTATCCGTTCTTTCTTGCTTTTTTCTTTCAACAACTTCTTTTACTCTCTTATTAAGATGTTTAAAGACTGCCTTTTTTCTTTCAATATCATCATTCGTACCGCTAGAATTACCAGCCTTTGTTGCTAGTAAATCTAGCCATGCTCTCTTCTTTGCTTCAACTTACATACGTATCTCATCATCCCACCATAACGTATTATTTTTCCTTTCATTCTTCCTCTTACTAACACCACATACTTCGGTAGCTGCATCCACTAAACCTTTCTTTACATTTTGCCATACGTTCTCCAAGTCTAACTCCTTCATACATAATTCATCCAAACCACTTATATTTTCTTTCAGTCTACATTTGAACTTGTTTTTCTCACCTTCATCTTGTAACCTTTCTGTTCTAATACGCTGTAACGCAGTGGTAGACACAGATGATCGATGGCGCCAACGCCTGAATAGACCATTAATTCGGCATAAAACCAAATAATGATCCGTTCCTACATTAGAACCCCGGTAAACCCTTGTATCCACCACTGCGCCCCTCAATCTTTCATCCACAATTATGAAATCTATCATGCTTCTATCGTCACCTCTTTCCCAAGTATACATGTGAATCCTCTTGTGGCGAAAGCAAGTGTTCGTCACAAAAAGATTCTTTTCCATACATACGGTGAGGAGACTTTCACCATTCTCATTTATACTTTCATCACCAAACGTTCCCAATATCCTTTCATAACCAAGCCTCCTCACCCCAACCCTTCCATTAAAATCTTCTAGCATAATAATATTTTCATTTCCCTTACACTTCATTAACACCATCCTTACCATTTCCCAAAACTGCTCTCGGATATAAGTGGGCTTAGACATGTCTGGGGCGTAGACCCCTAACACAAACAACTTCTTTAAGCCCACTTTCATTCATATCCATAGCAGTCTTGGACTTACACATTCATACTCTTTCACACATTTGCCCATTCTTTCTGAAAGGATGATACCGACTCCCTAGCATGCCCGCTCGATCTCGTCCACACCTCATCCACACCGTTCCTTTTCGTCTCATTTACACATAACACATCTATTCCTCTATCATACATCATATCGCATATATCTATATATATATAATATCTTATACTTCTACCTATATATATATATCTTATACTTCTTATCAAATACAAATTGGTTTGGAATCTTATTGTAATTGGCTTGTACGATAGGAAGAATTTTTGAGTAAATTCTATCAATTTTACCTGTATGAGGGACTCTACTCTTACTCAAAAGATTTTGGGTCTTGAGTCTAATGACAGCTAAAGTAGTTTCTTTTTATATGTGTAGATGAAGCGGGGTTAGCTCCATTATAGCCTCTAAAGCTGCTGTTGGTGTAGTTCTTATGCAGCCTGTGGCAGCAATACATGCCAGTCTCTGGTAACGCTGAAGCTTCTTTATAGTAATGGTTTCATTAGTTTTGGTCCACCATACCAGAGTGCCGTATGTGATCATGGACCGAAGCACAGTTTTGTACAGCCACAGTTCTGCATTGCTATAAAGTTATACTAGCTTTATTGATTTTGTTTTGTATGTATTTATTCAACTTGAGTTTACTGTCCAAGGTAAGTCCTAAGTATTTTACCTCAGAGGATAGCTGGAGTTTCCTAGATGATAGTTATTCAACATTCGTTTTCGTGTGAACATTACTAGGACCGTTTTATGTGGATTAACAGTTAGGTCATATTCCCGGCACCATCTCTCCACTATACGGAGAGCCGCTTGGTTCAGGTCTTACACTATGCTTGCTGTCTTTCCAGAGACCAGTATTGTCAGGTCATCTGCACAACCTACTGTGTAGAAATGATCGGCATTTAATTTGCTGACGAGTTCATTTATGACATGACATTTACTTAAAAAAATATGTAAGATTACAATTTAATAATGAATATATGCTAGGTATTTTATCAATTAAAAAACAGATATTTTTCAAAAATAATGAAAATAAAGCATCCATGAAATTGTTTTAGTCATAATATTCTTTTATTAACTTAAATCAATAAAACATTTTTACAATAGAAATATCAAAATACTTAACCATTTCTCATTAAGAAGCTCTAACAGCATGTATAGGTGTTTGCTTTATGAAAGAATCTAATTTATTTTTAAACAGTTCACTAGTAATTGGTTCTCCGATACCACATAGGGGGTTTCTCACTGCATATTTTACATAAATTTCTCCATAAATCTTCTTCAGCAATTCCCTAACACCCTGTGCTTGGTTATCAGTGGTCATAACAAACTTCAAACCCGATGGTGTTTCCAAACAATGAAGGGTGTATTTGGAAGTTTTGTAGTTCAGGAACCCATCTTTTGGATCCAATGGTGATATTTTAGCAACAAATGATTTGATTGAAAATAACATTCCATACATAAGTTTTCCCTCCTGTGAAAGAAAGATTCAAACAATTTTTTTAGCAGTAAATAACATATTTTATCATCATGTAGTGGCGGTGTGACTTTTGACAGGCTGTAATGCCTAAAAATGACAGGGAATATATTTTGTTAAGATATACACTACTTTAATAGATTGTGCTATGATAGGCTGGATCATATAACCAATGATAGCCTGTAACAATGAAATTGTTAATTGCAATTTTAAGTGCTGATTTACCACATGCTCGGCGGTGAAGAAAAACATTGAGAGGAAACCAGCATGTCTGAGAAATAAGAAAAAAATATTTGAAAGACATATGAAGTTTGCTAACATGCATTGGACATTTGCTTGCCCTAAACCCTCTCAGAAACTAGAGGAGGCCTGTGTCCAGCAGTGGGACATATAAAGGCTGTAACTATAATTTAACATCCATACATAATACATAAGTACTAACACCTGTCACCCAGAGGGACAGGCAGAGGCTACAGACTTCCATTTGGCACGATCCTGACACACCTTTCTCACCTCTTCCACATCCATATACCTATGCATACATGCTCATTGGTTAAGGGTACTCTTGCTTTGGCCCCTTTTCAATAGATCGCCAATTTGGTCGAGAAACAAACAAATTTTAACTTAACACCCTAACAAAAATCCACTGCTGAATGTAGGCATTCCCTATTGATTGTCTCATAGAAGGGATGTTTATCACAGTTGCCACAATATTAGTTTTAATTGGACTTAGGAAGACTTTGCTGCATATCGCCTGGTTTGTTTCCCTACATTGAGTCTTATGATACCCTTGGGAAGCATTGGCATGTGAGGAAATGCATAGCAGCCATAAAAACCATAGCGAGTGTTAATTATTAGTTGAGTGATTTTGTGTATGATATGGAGCTATATATTACTTTTATTTCAATGGAATTCAATACCAATTCCAACAGCAATGAGAAAACCTAATGGATACCTAGTAACAAGCTCGGTTGATATAGTAGAAGCGTTTGCGGAGGAATTCTTAAAGGCATATTCAAAGGAACCAGTCATAGACTAATAAACTAAAATAACTGCTGTTGCTTGGGTAGAGAATAGCTAGAACTAGCTAAACTCTGGACACCTACAAGAAGATTTAAATTGTATAAAAACTGGACCAAATACTGCATACTCAAGTTAGATGCATCAAAATGCAGTATTCTGTGTCTAGGCAATATATACCACCATACATCTGTCAACCTTCAAAGAGATCTAGGAGTCAACATAGTACTAAACTTAAAACAGCAATAATTACAGTCAATCTCAACTACAAAATATCCTCATAAGAATGAAGATCAAAGACAGTCTCGTGATCACCATTCTCAGATTATGTATGTACATACAAACATGATCTTGCAAACTCTCGCTGCACATCATTTCTTTGGCAAGAACCTGTTACCAGAAGATTTTGCTTCCGCAGCATCTGTGAATGCAATTCTAAACAAATTCGACAACTGACTATAAAACTACCAAAACAGTGCTTAAAAGTGAATAAAACCAATAAAGATTATCAAACATCAATGTTGGAAACACTGTGTTGTGTGTTATATCATTGAAGAAATACCGCATTGTGAATATGGTCATATCATTGAAGGCTGCTCAGACATTTAATGATAAATAAAAATTAGTTCAACTAATTTGATTTATATAAATGAACTTTGATGCTAGAAATTTAGGAAGATTTATTTTTAGAAACCTACAATGTCTGTTGCATTTATACCTATTTTTTAAATTTAATTTTTGCATGTATTGCCCCATTTACATTCAGCCTTTTTGGGCAGAGAAGTGAGCAGGGCAGTGGGCAGGGCAGTATGTAAACAGGCTACTCGCACTGACACTGCTGCTGCCGCTGCCACTGCCCGACTCAGCCCGGCAGCGCGAGCGACAGTGAGTGTTCACATTCTGCTCCGTCGTTAACTTCGCACCAAGCGCCTGGACGAACGGACGTGTGTGCCGTCTTGTAGTTAAATAAGTATGATCTGCCAAAATGCCTTTCGAGTGGAGTAACGAAAATACAATCGGGTTTTTAGAACTGATGGAATCAGAAAAAACTATATGGGATTTAAACGATAAAAACCACAATTCAGCATCTTCTACGAAGACGAATTTCCTTTTTGAGATAGCATAATACCTATGTACATAATTAATTACAAATTCGTCAAATTAATTATATTCATACAAAATTTAGTTTAAGGAATTAATGAACATTGACAATTTATTTCTCAAAACAATTAGTAACTCATATTGATTATTTATTTATTAAAATGTAAAATGATGTATTAAGTTAAATGGTAATATTTGCATAATAGCCTGAGATTTTTAAATTATAATTTTATTGTAATTAAAATTATGAATTGATTTAATACCGTAGTGATATTATTAAAATAATAATAGCTTAACTAATCTCATATAATATTATAACAATAATGTAATAATTCAATTAATAATTTATGAACTATTTATTGTATAAGAATTCAAATAGAGTGGATCTGTATAAAGTATTTAATTGTACATAATATTTGAATTCAAAAAGAATATTTGTTCCTAACTTTTAAGCAATGAAATAATTTTAAAATGTAACATTGGGTTTGTGTAATTTATTTTACATGTAAATAGTATTTTATATCATTTTTGCATGCCAATTATGGCAAAACATATCAGTTCCACTTCATTGATCATCTTATGTACGAGGGTGGATTGAAAAGTACTCGGCCTAACACAGATCCATTCAATTCTAAAAATCAAATCTACCCACATTATTTAGTTCAAGATCAGTTTTCGTTCAGACTAGTTCATTGTGTGAAGTTCGAAACGTGTGCGATAATTAGTTGTGATTTTATAAATTTATTAACAAAGTAATCGGACATAATTTCCGCGAATGGAGCAAATCGAGCAGTGTGCCGTCATTAAGTACCTCCATAAGAAGGGGCTATCATCAAAAGCCATCCATGATGACATGGTCAGTACATTAGGCGATTGTGCTCTGTCATATTTATCCGTCAAAAAATGGATAGCAGAATTTAAGCGTGGTAGAGAGAGTGCGAAAGATGAAACCCGCTCTGGAAGGCCTTCGACGTCAACTACTGACGAAAATATTAAAAAAAGTACTTGATTTAGTAATGGGAGACCGCAGATTAAAAATTAGAGAGATAGCCGAGATTATAGGCATCTCTTATGAACGAACTCAAAACATCATTGTCAACGAGTTGGGTTTCCACAAGGTGTCTGCGAGGTGGGTTCCGCGACTGCTTTCAGTTGAACAAAAAAGGATGCGATTGACTATTTCATGCGACTGTTTGGAGTTATTTGAAGCCGATGCAGATGATTTTTTTGAATCGTTTTGTTACTATGGACGAAACATGGGTTCATTACTGTACAACGGAAACAAAACAACAATCAAAACAGTGGAGAAGACCTGGTTCACCACCCCCTAAAAAGGCTAAGTCGATTTTGTCGGCAAATAAGGTGATGGCTTCAGTATCCTGGGACTCGAAAGGTGTGATTATGATTATCTTGAAAGGGGTCAGACTATAAACTCTGATTACTACTGCACCTTACTACGTCGTTTACGAGAGGAAATAAAAGAAAAACGTCGAGGAATGCTCAGAAGAAAAGTCCTGTTTCATCAAGATAACGCCCGTGTTCACACGTCAGTACAGTCAATGGCTGAAATTCACAACTGTGGCTTTGAACTGTTACCGCATCTGCCGTATTCACCTGATCTGGCACCATCAGACTTCTTTCTGTTCCCTAACCTAAAAAAGCACTTGGGAGGTCAAAGATTTTCGACAAACGACGAGATCAAAGCAGCTGTAGACGCATATTTTGACTCTAAGGAAGAATCATTTTTTTTCAACGGTCTAAATGCTTGGAAGGGGAGGTGGCAAAAGTGTATTGAACTTGATGGTGATTATGTAGAAAAATAAAAATATAACTGATTTAGTATGTGTTTATTTTCTTGGTTAGGCCGAGTACTTTTCAATCCACCCTCGTACCATGTTTCTAAGCAAATAAATTTTCTATCTATCTATCTATCTTCTTTTGAATTTGATATCTTTTTGAATTATTAACATAATTCTGCCATAGTCGAACGTCGAAAGTGATGTGAGTGGTAGGGTAAATACACACTTCTCTCGATCCTGCTACGGCAGTATTTAGCGAAGTATGTCTGGCAGCGCGAGGAGTAGTAGGGGATGAATGTAAATGAGGCTTAATATTTAACTGTTCCCAGGATACTTTAGTATGTATTCTAAAAAAACTTTTGATATTAAAGGCAAGATTATACATAAATATATGGTTGATTTTCTTAAGTACTTACTTCCTCTCGAGACATACCAGACTGTTTGGATCTGTTCCATTCACCATAATATAACAATGTCCCATAGCGATCGAAGATATATAAATTGTGAATTGTCATTTTATTTTTATCAATACAGCAAATACTGGTTCACCTAATAATTACAACATAACTGAACTTCGTAACTCTTAATACAGTAGTTATTATTACTCTTGTTATTATATCAAAATACCTACCTATTGCATGTTATTATTCATTTAACATTCAAACTGTTTTAAGATTTCTATTGGTTATATTAGGACATTCCCGACATTAATCCATTCTGTAAAACTAAAGCCAAACATATATACGTAGTCTTAGAAAAACACCGTTCTAATCAAATTTACAATTTTTATGATATATTTGTTTGAGAAAAAGAACTTAGGTACCTATGTATTTAAATTTGATAGATTGAAAAAGAATCAAACAACATTAAAATTCTTACTATGGTTTAATATTTTGTTATAGCCAGTGGCTATGTGGCTATTAGCCACAGAGTACAGTGTAGCCAGATTTTTTTCACCTGTCCCCCTAGATTTTTCAAAAAAACCCCTAGTTTCCTTATGTAGGGGGATAAAAACCTCTGAATTTTTATTCGGTCAAGTTTCGTGTGAATCAGATTTATCAAAAATAAAAAGTTACTACTACATACAAGCTCCGTACTTAGACCATCCAACCCAATGGACGAGTAATGCGCCTAATGCTACGAACAAAAAAGTCTGTCACTTTTGGTGCGGGGGAAGAAACACTACATAGACAGTACTGCATACCCACTCAATAAAATTTTGTGTCACTAAGGCAAACACAAATCTAAATCTCCAACACTATGTACACATGTAGGTTAAATACATCAATATAGAAAAAGTTATGAGTATAAGACGGACAAATTAATTGCGATATTACCATATCGATATTTTATATCGATAATGAATTGTCGGCATTGTCTGTTTTGAAAAAGAATTAGGAAGTTGGTAAGACTAGTGAAAAACCGTTAGAAAAACCTCTAGATTAATTTCGTGATATTAAAACCTCTAAAAAAACCTCAACGTCCTCCAAAAACCCCTAGATTGAGGAAAAACCTCTAGATCTGGCAACATTGACAGAGTATATTGTATATATAAGGAAGTTATAGCCTCAAAAGTATGGAGTGTAGAAGTAAGGAGTACACATTGTGTATTAAAAAATGTCCATAAAAACCTTTAAATAAGGGTGGCGCCACTACAGCTACGGAGTAAATTTTAAAGAACGCACCCAAAAATATTAGTAGGATAGACGACATTTTCGACGTTATATTTACTAAATAAAATTATTTTAGATTTTAGAGCTACTGATCACTTAAACCGGCGACAACTGCTAAGTTCCTTTCATCTCAGTAGCTACTCCAGCGCTGTTGTGGAGAGTTATTGAGCTGCTATTTACAGATGACCACTTTTCAACTATTCTACTGTTGCGCGCCTAAGTTGACGTCTGGCACTAGCGCCATCTGTGTCGGGTAACGGAGCGAGGAGAGCTTTCCAGAAAATGACATCACTAATCTTTCAACCGACAGCGCCATCTAGTATCGAAACGAAGAACTAAGCTTCTAGAAGCCCGACACTCGAATTTTCGGCGCCTAGTCGATTGGCGCGCGTGTTTACTTGAATATTGTGGATGTTTCGGTGATAATGTGTTTGTGTAATGTGTTTAAAGGTGCTGCAAGATGCGAGCGGGGAAGTATTGAATTTGGCGAAACAAGCGAAGCTTCGGAGCGAAATAATGTGAATCAGTGTGATTAATTATTAGTGTTCTAAGTTTTAATTAGTGTAAAGTGAATTAAAGAGTTAATTTTGGTAATTCAATCGGCAGTTTTTAATTGTCACGAACCTCAAGCTCGTAACACTACTATGGGAGTTGGCACTCCTTACTTCTATACTCCATAATTTAAAGTACTGATTAAAATGACAGCTGTTATTCTGATGTGACTAATGCTGGAAACAGTAAATCGATATATCGATAAAGTATTCAAAAAAATATTAATAAAAAATATGCACTTAATACTTATTTTAACCAAGTATTTAAACATTGGGACTCATTTTAGGCTAATAAAAAATAGCAATAATAAATTTATTGACACAATGGTGTACATCCTAAGTCACAATCACCATCATCAGAATCAGAGTCACTATATAGAACAATTTTCGGGATTAATTATTAATTCCTGATCACACAAATAATCACGTTGCCAATCTTGTGTGATAATTTTTCGCGTTTTATCAACCACCTGCTTCCAATCATTTGGTGTTGTTCACAAGTTCATAGGCATTGTTCAGCAAATTTAACATTTTATTTGCCGTAAACGGTGGGGAGGTGTAGTTTCACATGTACATGACCTAAAACGAAAACAATGAGTTAACTTTTTTTATTTGTGATGCACTAATTAATTAACTTCATTAAAATACTAAATACGTTTAACTTGTGCCCAAATAATTGCCATTGACTCTGGCAATCTGACACTGGCAATGATACAGTGGCAGGGAAATAATAGTATGTCGCTTTTGTTCTGCTATTTAGGATGCGTACTTAGCAGGGATGAGAGGTATGATAATGATATGGAACGACGAGTCAACGCAGGAAATAGAATAAATGAGGCTCTACACTCTGTAATGGAAGGTCTGAGTATGTCAAAAAAATCACATATGGTAATACACAATGCTGTGTAAGTCCCTACTTTAACGTGCGATAGTGAAAGTTGGGTATGGCAATAGAAAAGAACGAGAGTAGAATAAACGCAGAAGAAATGCGGTCGTTAAGGAGTATATTAAGGATGAATCTGAGTGACAGGGTGAGAAATTGTATAATAAGAGAAAAGTGTGGTATGCAAGATGATATTTTTAAGATAATCAAGAAAGGAATGCTTCGGTGGTTTGGTCATGTAGAAAGAATCAATGAAGAAAAACTGACAAGGAAAATTTATGTTGCAGAAGTGAACAAGTGGCAAGTGGCAGAGTCGGTTAGAGACACTCTAGGCGAAAGTTTATCGACCAAATTGGCGATTTATTGTAAATAGACCAAATCAAGAATTCCTTTAACCGACGAGCATATATGCGTAGGTATATGGATGTGTAGTCTCTGCCTACCCCTCTGGGTGACAGGCATGAGTGCTTTTGTTAACGTTATGTAGCTATATCGCGATATATCAATATTCAATATTTATTTTGGAGTATCAAATTCGTATCAATTTCGATATATTTTAAAATGTTATATTAATCGACAAAATATTGAGCAACAAAAGTAGCTACAAAAATATTAATGTGCTTTTGTCTTTTGTTTTTCGCCGTCCAACAGTGCAGTATTAGCATTTTAGACCTTATCCTACTACATCATGCAAAACATGAGGATATATAGATATTTATCTAGCAATATAATATATCGATACTGTTTAAAAATAACGATACGATATATATCGTTTTTTTTCACTTGCACATCCTTATTAGAATACGTAGACAGAGAAACCAATAGACTAATGATTAGCGTGGCCTCGAGTGAGAAAGGACCATAGACAAAGAAACCTATAGACTAATGATCGGCGTGGCCTCGAGTGAGATAGGACGATAACGAATTTTTAGGTTATACAATAATCTTTATGACTTTTAAACACATTTAGATAAAAAATTTTATTGTTCTAAGAACTGAACTGAACAAGATTCACCAACCTTAGGCTCACAAAACACTTTTTTCTCACTTAAACCAACTTGTAAACTCCTTAAATCGCTACGGACTGTCAAAGTTGTTTAGCAAACTGTAGAGTTTGCTAAAACAAAAAAAAAACCGGCACGGTGAAAGTGACAAACAATCACACCGCTCTATCTCATTTCTATGCAAGACGTATGCATAAATCTATCTTTTTCGTGTGCGAATGCGAAAGAAGGCGTCAATTTGTCTATAGGTTTCTCTGTCTACGGTAAGGACGATAACTTTTAGGTTAATAATCTTTATACTTTTAAACACATTTAGATAAAAAATTTTATTGTTCTAAGAACTGAATTGAACAAGATTCACCAACCTTAAACTCACAAAACACTTTTTTCTCACTTAAACTAACTTGTAAGCTCCTTAGATCGCTACGGACTGTCAAAGTTGTTTAGCAAAGTGTAGTGTGCTAAACAAAAAAAAACCGGCACGGAGAAAGGGACAAACAATCACACCGCTCTCTCTCATTTCTATGCACGACGTATGCATAAATCTATCTTTATCGTGTGCGAATGCGAAAGAAGTCGTCAATTTGTCTATAGGTTTCTCTGTCTACGTTTGAATATTTTGGAAAAAACTTACTTCCTAAATATTTAATAAAGGCAAAGGGGTATACACCCATACAACCTAGTCCGATGTACAAATTAGTCACAAATTAATAGCTTGCTACATATTTATTTATCTATGGTCACTAAATATGTTATGGTAACGAAATTTAATTTTGATACATCACATTGTTAAGCTTTTGAGAGATTTTGATGACAGCCAGCTTACGCAAGTAGACAGTCGGTTTTAATGGTTTATCATCAGCGGAGCACCAAATTCATAGTTTTCTCAAATTTTTCATATGCGCATTACTTTATTTGATAGTGCAGAAATTCACCGGCAATTGTTTTTCCACAAAACACTTGTTTGAGTTTTACAATGACAGACGATTGTTTTCGGGAGATTTCCCCCGGCAAAAAATGATAAACACTTCTGTATCGTGGAAAATTGTTGTAGCTGCTCCTTTCAATTCCACCGGTAGTTTGTGTTGCTGTCCAAAGCATAATCACTACGTTTTTCCTCTATTATCCAATTGCATAACTTCATCTTCATTACAGCTCTTCACAAGTGTCTGCTGAACGTACTCCCCCCAAGCAATACTACAATGCACGCTCCTGAGCCACCTGCATTCATCGATTTCCTGTGTATCATCACTCCATCTAGTGGGGGTCACCCTACACTTTGCCTACCGGTACGAGGCTGCCACTCGAGAACCTTTCTTCCCCATCGGTTGTCAGTTCTTCGAGCTATATGGGCGGCCCATTGCCATTTCATCTTAATAATACGTTGGGCTATGTCGGTCACTCAGGTTCTACTGCAAATATTCTAATTTCTAAGTTTATCACGCTGAGAAACCTCAAGCATAGCTCGCTGAGCGACTTTGAGCGTCCTCATACGTCTAGCAGTGAAGGACCACGTCTCAGATCCATAATTCATCACTGGCAACACGCACTGGTTGTATAATCTCGTTTTCGGGTTTTGACGTATACCTGACAAGAAGAAGTGTCGCAATTTCCCGGACGCTGCCCAAGTTGAATGAGTCGATTGACTGTCGAACTATTTGTCACAGGTAAACGTACTCTTCAACAACTTCGAGCTTAGCGCTCGCAGCAACTACCGGCATAGGTGTGACATTGACATTAAACATGATCTTTGTTTTGTCCATGTTCATCTTAAGACCTATCCGTTGGGACGCACTATTGAGGTCATTGAGCATAGTGCTTAGGTGCTCCAGCAATTCTGCCATAAAAACTATATCGTCGGCAAATCGAAGTGATGTACTCGCCATTGATGTTAATACCGTATTCTTTCCAGTCCAGTAGCTTGAAAACGTCTTCCCATGCAGCGGTGAAGAGCTTAGATGATATAACGTCACCCTGTCTTACACCTCTCTGCAGTTGGATAGGCTTCGTTCTCTGGTTCTGTACTCGGATAGCCATCGTAGCCCTACGGTACAAACACTTCAGCACTTCGATATACTGACAGTCAACTTGGCACCGCTGAAGGGACTGTCAATACCGCCCAAATTTCGACGGAATCAAAGGCTTTTTCATAGTCCACATACGCCAGGCAAAGTGGCAGATTGTACTCTTCAGACTTCTGTACTATTTGCCGCAGGGTATGTGTGGTCTATGGTGCTAGTCTTTTCGGAAACCGGCTTGTTCGGGAGGCTGGAAGTCGTCGAGTCAGCGTGCGTAATGATTCGTAATTACTCTCGAAAACAGCACGTAGATGCGGCTCAGAAGGAAAATTAGTTTGTAGTTCTGTGATATGTACAGTTGACCATAGAACCTCTCAATCTCACTCAAAATCTTAGGTGTCCTGGAAACGATTCTGCCACACTCGTTCTCGGTCAAGCAGAATCACATGCTTTGTAATGAAAAATATACTATTTTTATTTCTGTAGAGAATCGTATGATATTCCTATAATGTATATTTTATATAAATCATTAATGTCCGTGCTCTCTTATTCTTTGGTCATTGTAAGAACTACTAGGGTTACTAGGTTATGATACTCTTTGATCTTTTGGTAGATGCGTAGTATACATATATATCTCTTTGCTTGGTAGACTGGTAGCTTCGAGCATAGAAAATAGGACCGGTAGACAGTAAAACGTGGTGTTTATAGACTAGGAATGTCGATTCTTTCTGAAAAAGATCGATTTTTTAATCGATTCATAAAAATCGATCTTGTACCGATTTGCTTTCAGATTATTACAAAGTAGGTACAGATAAAAGTAAAAAAATTTTAATTTCTTTATTCCATTAAGAAGAGGTAAAATAAAATTAACACACAGCAGTTTGCTAGTTTATGAATAGAAAAATTGTCTTTCTTTACAAGTTTGGGTATATTCAACTAACTGTAAATAATTTTTTATGAAAACAGTAAAAGATTCCATCTTAATTTCTGGGATGAAATATCGATTCACTTTATCGCTTCAGTACTATATATCGATTTAAAAATAGATTTTTTTGGCACAGGAAATTGATTCTTCAATTAATCGGTCTCAGATCGATATGCCTATTATAATGATAATTTCGTAGACAGAGAAACCTATTCTCTGTCTACGAGTAATTTTGTGTCCATCGTAGTCCATCCATGCGTAGTATCCTCTTAGTAGTCTTTCTCTCTAAGTGGTGTCCATGAAATGCTTTGAGATGAAATAAATGTTCAATTCTTTTTCTTTTTAATCTGTACACCGTGCAATGAGACAATGGTGTGAAACACAGAGTACTTTGTATATACTGAAAGTGTGAAAATTGTTATGAAATAAAATAAAAATAGCATAAAAAACGATATTAAGAAACCATACATTACAAAAACATATAGGTATATCATTTTTATAATTTTAATGTCACAACTAATAACATTTTGGTTACTTTGAGGTTACATTCTTATCTAATACTTTACAGAAGTTATCAAGACTATAAATAATGGATGAATATTCAAGAGAACCGTGTCCATGGCGTATACTTGATGACTCTGGTGGAGCTTTTATTATGGGGGCTATTGGAGGCGGCATATTCCACTCCATCAAAGGTTTTAGAAATGCTCCAGTTGGTTTCAATCGAAAAATGGTATTAATTTCAACATATTTACGATTGTGTTCATTATTTTAAATTAAGAAACATTTTATACAAATCTTAATTTTGGCCTCTGTCAGCTTGGAAGTTTAGCTGCTATCAAAGAAAGATCTCCAATTGTGGCTGGAAACTTTGCAGTGTGGGGTGGAATGTTCTCCACGATAGATTGTTCTCTGGTATACTTGCGACAGAAGGAGGATCCTTGGAACTCAATAATGAGTGGAGCTCTAACAGGGGGCATACTTGCTGCTAGAAATGGTAAGCCAAATAACTCAATTTAAACCTTATTTAATAAAACCTTTTTTAACAGTTTCAAAATCTGGTTCCATACACAAATAGCCATCGCAGTTTGCCATATAAACACTTCACCACTGATATTCACTGTTAGTCAACTAAGCTGCTAAGTCTAGCACTGATTTTGAAAAAAATGTTGTTTCTTCCCATCCATCTTCATAAGAGAGGATTTCAAATCAGAGTATCTGACAAGCTCCGTTAGAAAATCTCTGACTAGGAGAATTAGTGAGGTGTGACACACCTTTCCCCTTACACTCTTCCCCCTACCAAGGTGACTTACTTCATTACTAAAGTTTCTGTGGGGATTAGTGGACAGGCTTTGTCACCCTGTTCCCTCTGGCAGCCACCTCTCAGCTTGTACCACAGAATATTAAAGCAGTAACCTATTTTTAAATACCATTACTTTTTCAGGTGTTCCAGCAATGGCGGGCAGTGCTTTAGTGGGAGGTATCCTCCTTGCATTAATTGAAGGAATTGGTATAATGTTTACTCGACTTTCAGCAGAGCAGTTCAAACCACAGCAACCTATTTTCGAAGATCCTTCCATATTGGGACAAAGTCAAGGGCAGAGCCAATCTTTCCAGTAGGATACATATGAATAAATCTAATTTGTGCAGTCTGAAATTTTATGTGTTGTAGAATTTATTTAACTTTTTCTAAATCTTGTTTATTTTTCCTAACTGTTCTTTTTTAATATGATTTATATGAGACCGTTTAGAAAGTTTGTTGTTAGGGAAATAGGTTATTTTATGACCAAGATCTAAACATAACATGAGCTAACTAAAAACATAACATGATGGCCATTTTTTGTGTCTAGTATCAAGTATGTTGAGTCTCTAGCTTATCGGGAAGTTCAAATTGATTGCAAATTTTGTAGCAAACAGACTAACAGAAGATACAATGTTAACACTTTCACTGTCTGGTTTTCAGACACAATAATTAGACAATAGCAATGACATCGAAATGGTTGATTAAAACATAGTAAAACACTGGATATTGTTATGTTGATTTTACTGATTAATACATGCAGTAGAGACATACTAGTTGTAGATCTTAAAACTTCATGTTTAGGGAATATAACAAGAAAATATGCAGTTTCTTAATGGGGAAAATCAGGCTTTTTATAATATTAGGATGGTAAATGAGCAAAACCAAAAGCAAAGAGGATGTGTTGTAGTTTCTTACCCTTCATACTGAAACAGCCATGTGTTAGCAACACATATTTGGAGATAAAAAATGTTTTACATAATATTTATCATAATTCATTATCTAGCTATTTAATAAATACATCAACATGACAGTACTGTCATAGATTCAAGGGCAATTTATTGTTTTAATGCATAAATTTTCAGACTGTATATAAAGTAATACTAGAAGAGAATGTTTTGTCAAAATAATTAGATTAATTGGCCTTCATACTTGACATATTTGAGTGGGTTATTTGCTTCTGTGATATTTTCAGTTCCATACTGATTGCTTTTAATTCCACTTAACATGTTATTGTTTTTGTGAAAATTCATACTTTTGTTCAGTATGGTAGACATTGCAATTGTTTTATTATTAAAATCAGTCACCTATTACCTGCAATTATCAAATTCAACTTATTTATTTGTTTCCCATGTAGTTGAATAATATTGTGTGTGTTGTAAAGGACAAAACCTTTAGAAGTATGAGAGCAGATAATTGTGAAGATTTATTTATAGCCCATTTTCAAATTTGTATATTGTCGTTAACATCTATTGATTTTGTTTTATACAAACATACAAGTTGCAAGTAATATTTTATGATTTAAAATGGTTTTAACAGAAAATAAACAAAGGTTTATACATTTGTGTATTTATTTATTTTACTTAATAATAACATTAATGATATTAAAATATTTGATCAAAATTATGGCAATTATTACTCTACTCTTTCACTTAAGTTTTATAATTAGATAAAATCTTTTTTTTATTAAAGTTAACCAAAGCATTGCTTTAGCATTTTTATATTACGTTTTGTAATATAGTCTATTATGGTTGCGTACTGAGTGGCTTGTTTTGAGTGGCGTTCTCTCCCATTTTCCTAATTTCCTTGATAACGCGTGCTAAGACTTCTGGGTCAACACCAAGTTCGCATAACCTGATACATATGGTTAGAGTTTCTTGGTCGAGTCCTGTGCAAAGAAGCTGCGATATTTGATATAACATTTGGAATGCTTCCCGGGCTTGTCCAATTTGAGCATTTTTCTCTGAAGTCATATCTGTGACTGTAATGAGAACATGAAAACATTATCCAGTGTATAAAATTACGCAACCGTGCATTGTTAATTAATGTATAACTTACAATGCACTATTATAAATTAGCTAAAAATCTGTTTAGAAGAATGCACCGACAATTTAATTTCAAAATGTTAAATCAATTCAAATGTCAGTTTGACAGTATACAATTTATATCTTGTTTCTTTCTTTAGTGATAGACTTGTACAATTGTGTTTTTGCCAGTGTCAATGTGAAATTATCCCTTTTAATAATTTGTTTGGATACTTCTTCACAAGTTGCTAAGTTTTTGGGAGATTATGACAGCATTTTGAGTCAGCAGACAGTCGATGACGATTTATCGCAATGTACATTAACGAGCACAATAACTTGAGGTTCGCATCACCATCGGAGCAATGGAGGTTAGAAAGAAAGAGAACGATCGCTATAGAAAATAGTGTCCCGGAAATATGCACAAAACAAGTGAGGCGCTGCGATCGCTAAGTTACCTCAATAAAAGTCATTTTCAGTCTATTTTCCCGATCAGATGCTAAACCACTTGCACATCCACGCAAAATACAACATTTCACCATTTTTAATGTTTCTTTTTGTCAAAAATAAAAAAAATTACGGAGCACGATTATTTTCTCACCAATGCCGCGAAGAAAATTTGTACATTATTCAAGAGCCATTTGTAAAATTAACCAGAGAGAGAGTTGTAAGCCATACTTCATTAGATTAAAATTAGTAAAGTATTATAAGTTTTTATAAAAATCTTTTTAGATTGATTCGATTTCTTCTATTATCTACATATTATCAATTTATCTTTCTTATTCTATCAATTTATACTATCAATTTATCTTTATGACGCTGGACAATAAATTGAGCCATCCTAATAATAAAACTGTTTTGTTTAAGAAAAGCATATTCTGCATGGGGCCTAGGCTGTATAACCATTTACAAAAATAAACAAAAGTTTCTAAGAACTTTCACATTTTTAGGAATCAATTAAACATATTTTTAACCAAAAAGTGCGTTATAGTATTAATGATAATTTTTTTGACAAGTTTTAAATTTGAACAACAAAATTTATTGAATTTATTCGCAAAACTATATTTGTACTATTTAATTTAATTTTATAACATTATAATTTGAATTTTATTTTTATTGTGGTGAATTATTACTATGTTAGTAATACAAATATGACTATTTTATGTAGGTCGCTTAATAAGTTTTGAATTGCTCGAAATTTAAAAATGGAACGCACCCGTGTTATATGTTTCTAAAATGTGAATTAATTTAAAAATAGAACTCCATAAGGCCATTGCTCAATATTAAAAAAAAAATAGTTCTATTAATTTTCCTGCAACGCTTCCGTGAACATTTGCGCGCTATGATCTATTATGATTTTAAATTTGGTTTAAATTTACAACGGTTACAATCAGCATTAGGGGACTCAGCTCCATCACGTGCAACAATTTTTAGGTGGTTTACTGAATTCAAAAGGGGTAAAATTAACCTTAAAGACGACCAAATAACCGTTGCTCCGCAAACAGCAAATTAAAAAAAAACAGTCAATGCTGGAAAATTGTAGGTCAGTCAACTCTGAATGGTATACTACAGTTGCATTACCCAAAGCTTTTCAAGCTGTGCTGGAGAGAAGATCAAAGACCGGGCTTCGGGGAATCATGATGCATCACGATAACGCCTCTTCACATACCTCCCTTAGAACAAAAGCATTTATTGAGGAATCTGGTATTGAAACTCTAAGTCACCCACCCTACAGCCAATACTAAGCTCCTTGTGATTTCTGAAGAATATCTAGATGAATGAAACTTTGTACATGATGGAGAATATTTTAAAAAGATGTAAAATAAATATGATTAGTATCTAGAATATTTTTTTGTATCATTGAGTTCTTAATCCAATTATTAAATTTAATAAAAAAACAACAATGAAATTGTAGATATTTAACCCATATATCGCAACGAATAAATAACTTCGAATAAATGAATTTGAATAATTACAATAGTAGATTGAGTAATAATCTGACAGTTATTACGAATCATATTGTTAATAATATGAAGCGAACAGCGAGCAAGTGGACTGTATATATGTATATTAAAAACTGAAACCGATTGATTGACTTTGTGTGGCTGAGGATCTAAGTGTATGCTATATTGAGTATATAGTATGAAAATATAGCATGAGATTATGCTATGACGGAATTCTATTGAAAGAGAGACAAATTAAAAGATATATTCACTATTTACCGCATTTGCAGTACAATAATTATTAATTACAATAATCTAAAATATTTAATTAGAACACTGAGGGATTTCTATCTTTTTCATTATCTTGTTAGCTGCATATCTTCTAGGCTGCGGACAAACTCCATCGGCCGGGCGCCTGGCTTTTGCTCCCGCGGCATGCGTCTTGCGACCGACGCACTCCCACGCTTGATCGGAGCGCGGTGATTGGGTGCGCGAGATGTCGTCGCGTGCGGGGTAAGTTGGGGCGACGGAAGGGTTGCTCCCTTTGCCGTCTGTAACATAATATTATGTAAAATGTATTTAATAACCATTATTACCTCTCGGTAGAGAAAGGGCCGATCATCATTATAATGCCGTTCACAATTTGCTCTCGGTCCGATCTCGGTCTGATAAAATATTATCAAGTAAAAAAAAATATGTGTGTGCATTAATACTATCCGGTAACAGTCAAGTTTCGTTCGAAACCGATTTCATTATAATAAATCAGACCAAGATCAGACCGAGATCGGATCGAGAACGAACTGTGAACGGCAAATGAGGATCGGCCCTAACTGTGTTGTGTGATTATTACTGATGCGTGTGAAGTAATAGGTGCAATGCATTTCTTTGTTAGGGTCAGGGAGGGAAATTGTAAACAGTATAAAAAACCTTACAAGCTGTTTCTATTTTCCATAAAAACATAGCAAATATATTTATGACTATGAAAATGTACTTTAAAGTAGTTAGTATATTGAAAATGATATAAAATAGTAATAATTATAAACAAAACGCTAGATAATACATACATTTTTGATATTAACTGTTTACAATACCATGAAAATTACGCTATTTGCATAAATTTGTCCATTTTCATTTCATCATCATCATCATTACAGCCCTTCACAAGTCCACTGCTGAACATAGGCCTCCCCCAAGTAATGCCACAAAGCACGGTCCTGAGCCACCTGCATTCATCGACTTCCTGCATGTCTTACCAGGTCGTCACTCCATCTAGTGGGGGGTCGCCCTACACTACGCCTACCGGTACGAGGCTGCCACTCGAGAACCTTTCTTCCCCATCGATTATCGGTTCTTCGAGCTATATGGCCGGCCCATTGCCACTTCAGCTTACTAATCCGTTGGGCGTTGTCGGTCACTCAGGTTTCACTGCGGATATCATTTATTGTATGCTTATTTATCACTATTATTATACTCTGTTTTCAAATGGAAGTGTTATTCTCAATGGGGGCATGCAAACAAAACATTAACACAAACAACTAACTACTAACTAACTAACGACTAACTAATCACCACTAACTACAACTAAAAATACTGGAGTAATTGATGGCATTTATGATATTTCAGAGTATTTGTAAAGAAATTTATAAATTTCATTAAAATATCAGGGGGATGTGATAAAGAAAAATACCATATTTAATAATTATATTATATTTTACGTTTTGAACGAATCTCTAATTTTTTTAAAGTAATAATAATAGATTTTTTTACGTCTACTACTGTGTGTACTAATACTTTTCTTGCATCTTCGAGCAAGTTTTAGGTTTAGTCTAGTTCTAGTTCTAGTCAAAACTTTTCAAAAGCGCTAGTCTTTAAACTCGATACTATAGCTTTTTTACATTTCTGTGGACTCGTAAGTATACCTCCCAACAGTATCTGTATGGCGTCATTTCTCATATTATATTGCATCCATTGCTGCTTGTATTTACTGCCCGGGAGAAATAATTTACTCAATTTCGTGTTTTCTCAATAAATGCGTATAGTGTTATAGTTTACACAATAAAATATAATAAACATGTTTTTTTTTTTCATCAAATTTTATATTATTATAACATTAGTGCTAAAAGCTAAGTAATTAAAGTATTTAAAAAAATATGGCAGAAAATGGCGGGCTGCAATCGATGACAGTTCCTGACAACAGATATTTGACACAGAAGGGTTAGGCGTACATTACATGCTCATGCAGGCATCAATCACTGCATTACACGCAATTACACGGTAGGTTATTCGTCAATCACAACCACAGAGTACCTTTGTACAAACTGAAAATCACAACCGTGATTGTTGTAAAACTGACAGCCTGCATGCGCGTGTAATGTACGCCATAGATGTTTTGACTGTTGAGCGGTTATCAAATATTGTTTATAAGGTTTTTTTACTTGGGGATTTTATTTGATTTTCCATCATATTAGTCATATTAATAACAGTATGAAATATCAGTTACAGCGTTTATAAGTCTTAACATGACTGTAATTTCCTTTAAATATTTATTTTTGAGCCCAATATTTTTTTCACGCTATGTTTATGCTTCCATTTCTTTTTCATTGCTGTTTGCCTAAATATATATAATCATCAACATATTCGCATTCAATGGACTTTTCTTCTATTTTGATTGGTTTTTTGGAGCTGGAATTTTTGTTTATAATGCGTTCATTTCAAATCCTACTTTTTGGGCTTTGGGTGTTCAGGCTATAGTAATGTACAATAATATATAGATTTGGTGTTTATTTTTTATACACGTCTATAATAATCAAAGCTAACTACATAACCTACGTCCGTTAAACTTTATTATTGGTATTTTTTTAATAAAGGCTGTTTAGTTCAACTCGGGATTTCTAACCTTTTAATGTCTTATTGTAGAAAATGTAATAATTGAGCTAACAAACGTATTTATGCGCCATTGAAAGTTGGGCGGGAAACTTTGGAGTTTTACGTCTCTACAGTTTTCTATTTTTACACCCTCGCGTCCACACTCCAGAAATAGATATTGTTCAAGTTTTGAGAGTGATTTGTGCAGTGCTTTGAGCACTGAAAATATTAGTTAAACTTATTATTCTCGTGTAAATAAGTGAGAAAAGTGGTAATAATATAATGGTTAGTAAAAAACTTTTTAATGCTGCTTAAAATGCTAAAATACCGCATGATTTTTCAAATTATAATTTTGTCATGTCATTCGCGTGTACACTTTTATTTACGAATTACGATCGGAAAAGAGATTTATGTAAAAAATAAGTTTATTGAATTTTAAAGTAAGGAATTTAATTATTTATTAGCAGTTTAACAATACAATTTTTATGTTTAATAATTATGAGAAGAAAACATTTGCATTTTTATCTTTAATCTAACAAATGAATTAGGTACTTTGATTTCGGCTTTTTTGATTCCAAGTAATATGTGTTAATTGGACCAAGATTTCTTTCGACCCAACCGTATATGAAATTAGCTAAGTACTCACTTATTCAATGTAACTTGCGGCGTAAGAGTATATGTGCGAAAAGAGAACTGGGGCAGTACATATTCAGTACACCGGAGTCCAGAGTATTTAACAGAACTAAAGCTGCAAATCCCGGAACTATATACTATTCGAAATATCATTTCAACAAATCTTTTTAATAACAGTATTTCATAGTATGGTATATTTCACCATCTCCGTAACAAAATCTTCTAAAAATAATTCGGTCATTTTTGTCATCGCCAGTCATCGTTGGTCAACCCCAATACGCATTAAACGGGTGTACGCTCTTTGAATTTATACAGTGAGCGGCGCAGAAAATAAAAAGTACGGCGTCTACGTGCCTATCGTCTAGTATCCACAAAATGTACTTACGCGCAGAGTACCTTCCGGCACGCACGTTAAAATATTTCTGACAGAAAATGGGTTCTATTTTTTTTTAAGATTACGAACCTATGTATTAATGCCATGCAAATAAGTCCCTCAGCTTAACATAAGATATTTGGATTTGGATTACAGAAATACACTTTAATTTTTTTGTAGAATAAGAGCATATAGTCCACGTGGTGGTAAGTGGATACTGTGGCCCATAGACATCTACATTTATTCCTGTTTAAGAATTAAAATGCCTATACGTTGTCACCCCTGAGGCCTAAGATGGAATGCCTCGTATTCAGTAAAAAGGATCTCCCGTTCTCTACCGGTGAGTACCATACAGCAGCCAACACAGCAGCATTAAGCTGCTTTTACGCTGATATTCTGTGAGAGCGTTGTCGACATTCCAGGTTGAGCCGACCCATTTGTGCTACAACCATAATATAACTGCTGCATGGCTCTACCACATTGGGTGCGTTTGGCAGAAAAAAGCGCTAGCAAGCGCTTACAAGCGCTAAAATAGTTTTCGGCCAGGACACGACTGCTACTTCAATAGCGCTGACACAATCCGCCATTTTGCTTATTTAATTTGTTTGTTTTGAAGTAGAAATTATAAGTTGTTTTGTGCAATATTAGTTTTAAGTAGTATAATGACATGAATAGACATATACATGTTATTAAAATTCATGATTGGTAAGTTTTTAATATGAATACTTTACAAACATATATTTAAATTAGGTTAGGTTCCCCGGTTAAAACTAACATCGTGTCCTGGAGGAAAATAGCTACTTACGATTTGACAGCGCTTATCGCTTACGATCGCCATTTTGCTTACAAGCGTTTGCTAGCGCTTTTTTCTGCCAAAGGCTACCACATTATTTTATTATTACAATTTTATTAAGACTTAACGTTTATTTTCTAAATTCAAATTTGGAGTGTTGATTTGTAATAAATTAAAGGAAACTACGTATTTTTGAAAAACAAGGAAAGTTACAGTCTCTACGTCTGGTCACAAGCCTTTCCTTAGGTTCTGATGAAAGTTGCAGCCTATTACGTCTTAAGAGGGTTATGATAATACAGTACATAAAATAAAGTACGCTGCTCCGATTCGTATTTGACGCACTTTACATCATGTCCTTGATATATTTTATTTCTTAGATATGCGGGTTTTATTTGTTTTATTATATGTTTGGGGTTTTATTTTCACTTATAGGTATATCCTTTGATATTATAATAACTATTTTTGTACAATTTTTCTTTAACAAAATATTTAAACTTGTTAAATGACAAATTTTGTACATTTTCTGGAATTTTGTTGGAAAAGCGTCGTATACATTGCCCCATAAATGAATTACTAATTCTGTGGAGTCCAGTAACTGGTATTACAAGTTAATGTTAGTTCCTAGTGTTTAAAGTATGAACATCTTTGTTCTTATAAAAGCTATTTATGTTTTTATATACATACATTACATTTTCGCATATATAAGTATTGCGATTCCAAAGGTAATATGTTTATTTCTTTAAATATTTTTCTAAGGGCCTTTTTACAATTTAAGTTATAAATTGCCCGTACAGCTTTCTTTTGGAAAACAAATATAGCTTCAACGTCAGTCGCATTATTACCCCATAGCAACATTCCATAACACATTACGTTGTAAAAGTAATTTATACATGGAAGAGCCACGCTGAAGCTATATTATGGTTGTAGCACGAATGGGTCAGCTCGACCGGGGAAGGACCACGATCTCAGATAATACAAGCGTAAAATAGCAGCTTAATACTGCTGTGTTTCGTATGGTGAGTGTAGAGATTCGGAGATCCTTTTTTACTGAAAACGAGACATTTCATATTAGTCTTCAGGGGTGACAACGCATCTGTGATTTGATTCTTAATCGAGGATAAATGTTAGGATTAAATGTCTATGGGCCGCAGCATCCACTTACCATCAGGTGGACCGTGTGCTCGTTTCTCACTCATATTTTATAAAAAAAAACAACTCCCAATTTAAGAGCACATTGGTATTCGAATGTTTAACATTAGGTATTCTAAGTTTAATACATTTTGTCTCAATGCCGTTTAAGAGCAAATATTTTTGTTATACCAATGTACGAATTTCGATAAAGCATTATTTATATTGTTAAAATTATTTGAATGCCGTTTAAGTTTGAAACTAAAAGAGGTATCATCAGCAAATAACACTATATCTTGATTGTCCCCTACAAGATAAGGTAAGTCATTAAAATAGATTAAGAACAGGAATGGGCTAAGAATTAAGCCTTGAGGAACGCCCATTGATACTACCGACTTATGACGATTACAGGGTTACTTTTTCTCCGTGGTTTTCTTTCTATATCTTCGTTAATTTAAATTAAATTGACACAATAGGCACACTTTGTAAGACACATCATTTTATTTTATTACGTGGATCTTAGTACTATAGATTTTTTAATATCGTAAGTAAAGAGATATACATAAAAAATTGTAGATTTACATTTGCATAAATTAATCTTTCATTAATTAAGTCTTCACTTTTCTGTTCAGTCTCAGGTGGACGCCCCCGCAGCTGTGGTTCAAGATAGCACAAATGAAAACAAACAAGAAAATAAACCAGTTAGTGATTTTTCTAATATATTTAGAGTATATTCAAGATGTTGTCCGATATTGGCCGGGGACTTATAGACTCATGCTTATGGGAAACAATCTGCCTCCTACACTGGACCTAGCATGTCTTATATTATACATTTTGTTTCGTAAGAAATGAGCTTGATGTGTAATGTAGTAATATTATATTACGTCACGCCTGTAATCCGCGATGGTAGGTGGGGTCCAAAGAGCGGCGAGCAAACCATTACCATGTTTTACCAAAAAATACGGGATACAGGTAAAATTGCGAAAATAGTGATAGGTGGCTCCCATCGTCTACACAATTATTATAGCCCAATATTAGTTGCATTTTTTAAACTTAAACATATTTGCACTAAAGGTACAAACAGCGGATTAAATGCCATATAGCATTTTCTATCAGCCAACCGGAAGGGTGAAAAACCTATCATTGATAAACCTATTATAATAATTTTTACGACATGTTAGAAATAGAGAACCTTTTCCTGACCCACGAATCATATATGTAGATTTCGATTGTTTAACTATTGTGTCTCTTTGACTAGAGAAAAAAGAATGTGTCAATGGAAAACTGAAAGATAATACATAGTACCTACCTATAAACAAAGAGTATATAATCACTACGTTTACCTTTATATACTTATGTACAATTGCTTATTATTTAGAAAACTTCACACATAATTAATCAGTAAACGTCATTAATCAAAATAGACACACATCACGTCAAAGCCCTACGAATCTCTATAACAATAATTTACAATTATTGTATGGGATGTACATAAAATAAACTTTCCAATATGAGGTCAATATGGACTAGTCATTGGAGCATTGATGATGGAAGGGTACGTATAAAACTAGGGAGGTAAACTACTTACTAATATTACAGCATTTCAAAAATCCACTGCTGAATATTGGTCTTCCCCATATATTGCCTCAAACAACCCTCATATTAACGTCCAGGATTTGCCATTGTTGCCACACTTGGCAGGAGCGTTGGCAACGACTGTTTATTATTTTGAATTGTTTTTAGGAAGATGCTTCTACCCATCTATTATACACTCAGCGTCACAAAAATCGCACCTCTCTGAGTTTGCGCGAAAAATGGCTATAATGGCTAGAAACGAATTATATTTATATAAATATTGGTATGTTTGAAATGGGTATTTGAATAGTTTTACATTATTAATAAAAAATCATGAAATCATTAAAACATTTATCATTATAGAGCGTAAAATAAACACTGTCAAATGCTCGTTAGTAAGGACGCTAGTTACACCACCTAAAAAAGAGTATAAAAGGGTCGATCTGGATGAATGAGAGAAATATGGGTCAGTCGTAATTTAGACTTTGCAGTGAACACACGTGAATAACTAACCCAAGTAAGAACAAGTAAAGATGGACACGAGCTCTGAAGAAGCCACTCAAGTGATTGCCCTATTGCAGTCGGGGATGCGGCAGTGTGACGTTGCTCGACAGTTGAACCTGTCCCGTTTTTCAGTTCGACGGGTATTCCAACGTTTTCAGCAGACTGGTGGTTATGTTGGAAAACCGGGATCTGGAAGAAAACTGTGCACATCAGAAAGAGATGACCGTTTCATCGTTACGACATCTTTACGAAACCGTTTTACAAATGCTGTTGAGTTGCAATAACAGCTTCGATCAACTTGGAGAACATCTGTGAGTGTTTCTACGATAAGAAGAAAGTTACACGAAAAGAGTTTAACAGCCCATAGACCTGCTAAAGGTCCAAAACTTACTGCACAGCATCGCAGAGATCGCCTAGAGTTTGCTCGCAATCATTGCGAGTGGACTCTAGAACAGTGGCGGACCGTACTCTTCTCTTTTGATACGAGGCGGAGGCGGCGATGAGGATATTGAGACGAGGGTCTGTCTCTTCTGCAATGACAGACGTAGAAGGGTCTACAGAAGACAGAGGGAGAGGTTCACACAACCCTGCTTTGAAGAATCCGTCGAATACGGGGGTGGCTCGTGTATGTTTTGGGGCAGCATTTCCGTCGACGGGAAAACGAAACTTGTGTGCGTTTCCCGGACTCGGGGTGACCGTGGGCAAGGGTCATTAAATGCTGGTCGGTACATTACTGAAATCCTGGAGGAACATGTGGTCCCGTATGCTGGTTATGTCGGTGATGGATTCATATTAATGCATGATAATGCTCGTTGCCACACCGCGGCTATTGTACGGGATTATTTACAGAAGGTCGATATCCCTGTTATGCATTGGCCAACACGAAGTCCAGACCTTAACCCATAAAAACACAACAACTCCGGGATGACCTAAAACGGCGCGTGCGAGCTCGAGATCCAGCTCAAACCACTCTTCAAGAGCTCCTGTACGGGATTATTTACAGGATTACAGGAGGTCGATATTCCTTTTATGCATTGGCCAGCACGAAGTCCATACTTTAACCCAATAGAACATCTCTGGGATGACCTAAAACGGCGCGTGCGAGCTTCTGAGCTCCAAGATGCGGTACTTGAAGAGTGGGAACAAATACCCCAAGAGGCTGTTGCGACCCTTGTAAGGTCCATGAAAGATCGCATGGAACCCGTTATCAAGGCAAGGGGGGGGTACCACTAGGTTTTAAGAACTTTTTTTTGTATTTATTAATTTTTTTTTAAATTATTAATTTGCAAATTTGTACATACCCTGTCATTTTCTTTAATTTCTCTTTCGTCTAGTTATAAAAGTAAAATTAAATTAAAATTCATGAAAGATAATGAAATTACTTTTCTAATGATATCATCAAACCACAACATTGCAATTGGCCTGTTGTGTTAAAATAGTATTTAAATAATTTTTTTCGGATGTGCGATTTTTTTGACGCCGAGTGTATATTATATACGTGGTAGAGCCATGCTGCAGTTATATTAGTAGTGTAGAACGAATGGGTGGGCTCGACCGGGGAAGGACCACGCTCTCCACGCTCTCACAGAATACCAGCGTAAAATAGCAGTTTGATGCTGCTGTGTTACGTATGGTGAGTGAAGAGAACCGTAGACCCTTTTTACTGGAGACGAGGCATTCCATCTTAGTTCTCACGGGTGACAACGCATCTGCCTTTTCATTCGTAATCGTGGATAAATGTAGATGTCTATGGGCCACAGCAACCACTTACCATCAGGTGGACTGTGTGCTCGTTTGTCACCCAATCCTATAAAAAATATCCTCTTTCATTTTCGTCTGTCGCCTCTTATTTTCTGTAGTATAATTTGTGTAGTATATGACAGTAAGGTACGTGAGTGTAATATGGTCACCTTAATCTTTGCCGCCCTATAAAACCAAAACTAGGAGGAGGATAGAAACAAAAATACAAAGTCATATAGTATAACCAATATATTAAGAAACAAATAACAGAAAAGCTTAGGCAATAATTACGAACAACTCAAAACATCAATCTAAAAAAAACTAACGATACTACACAATACTAAAATCGACTAATCAACTGATGAAGAGCTATCGTATCACAAAGTCATCTATGCAAAGAAGGCTTTAGTTTTTGAGTTATAAGACAGTGCCCATATTATCGGGATACCATATTACACTCATGTACGATATTCGATCAGTTGTTTAACATGTATTCCAATATTTAAAGGTTGATCTTGTAAGTACCTAGCACAATGTAAAGATAGTAAAGATGTATTATATTTTTATGAAAAGTCAGAATGTGTCAAAAAAGGCACGTATGGCAATTCACAGTGCCGTATTAGTCCCTACTTTAACGTATGTTAGTGAAAGTTGGGTGTGGCAGAAGAAGCACGAGAGTAGAATAAAGTTAAAGTAAAGTTACAGCCTATGTACGTACCACTGCTGGGCACAGGCCTCCACTCATTTCTGAGAGGGTTTCAGGGCAAAGAAGTGTCAGCCGCGCTGCCCCAATGCGTGTTGACGAACTTCACATGTCTTCGAAATATTTTTTTTTCCTTATTCCTCAGACATGCAGGTTTCCTCACGATGTTTTCCTTCACCGCCGAGCACGTGGTCGTGAGCACCTAAAATTGCAAATTTCATTGGTGCCGGCAGGGATCGAACCCGGTTTGCTCACGTACTGTGATATTTACAGCGAGCGCTAACCATCTGAGCTACCACGGCTCTGGAGTGGAATGGAGAGTAGAATAAATGCAGTAGAAATGCGGTAGCTAAGGAGTATGTTAGGGCTGAATCTGAGTGACAGGGTGAGAAACTGTGTGATAAAAGAGGAGTGTGGCTTGCAAGATGATGCGGAGACCAGGATTAAGAAAGGAATGCTTCGGTGGTTTGGTCATGTAGAAAGAATGAATGAGGAAAGACTGACAAAGCAAATATATGTTGCAGAAGTGAATGGAAGAGTCGGAAAGCGACGTCCTAGGCGAAAGTTTGTCGACCAAATTGGCGATATATTAAAAATGGGCTAAATTAAGAGTACCCTTAACCGACGAGCATGTATGCGTAGGTATATGGATTGGAAGGGCGAGAGAGGTGTGTCAGGATCGTGCTAAATGGAAGTCTGTAGTCTCTGCCTACTCTCTCTGGGTGACAGGCGTGAGTGTTTATGTTATATTTAGAGATATGTGATGTAATAGAAACCTAACTTGTAGATCCCTTAATGTAGCATAAGACTACTATTTAACATCAGACCAACAAAAAATTAAAGAACGAATACGAACATTTCAAGTTCAAACCATTCTCAAATTCTTGGCATGCATTCACGCACCTTTACTCTGCTTTCAGCCCGTAAAAGCCCATTGGACGTAGTCCTGGACGTACAAATTTGAGCCTAAAACGATGTTGTTGGTTACGAAATAGATCACTATTATAAATGATTTGTGAATGATTCAATTATATCTAATATCTATGTTCCGTAGAGCTGCCGCCGCTGCCGGTTATATGCATTACTTTTATTGTCTCAGTTATTATTTAATACTCAAAGGTTATTATTCATTATATATTCTTTTTTGTGGCGTATAAGCCATTGTAACTTTGTTCTTTTAATTTTTATAGTATTTTGTAATGCTATGTATGCATGCATGTATATAAGGGTGCATACATCAGTCCCTAGATTAAGCCTATTTTTAATAAAAATGTGATAGCGTGTGCACTGCTGGTGTCCTATGAATAAATAAATAAATGAATGCATTATTTTACTTGGTTATGGTGCGTAATTACGCGTGATGTTTTCTTATCCTACTAGTAGTAGTTCAGTTGAGTATGGTTTCGACGTCACATAAACTTTACGTAGTGCTCTCTTTCTCTCTCTATCTTTCTTTGTAGTTCTGAACTATTAACAGACAAAAATACTTAATTTTTATGTTAAAATTCAATAATAATAACGTATTGAGATAATTCATCAGATTCAAGACTATTTAACCGTCGAGTTGTCGCTAATATGACCTTGAGTTATTTTTAATTAAATTGTAAAATGTATTAATTTTAGGCGGATGCCGTCCAAGCGCCAGAAACAGGCGGTGGTGAATCACTTACACTAGCAGATACTGCCACGCAAGAAGATTCCCAAGTCGCTAAAATTGCAGTGAGTTCTATTTGAATAAAATTTGAAATAAAATTTGAATAAAATATTCTGAAATTTTACTATTTAGGTAATGCTAGTATAAAAAGAGATAAGAAAGTTATGTGTTTATTGGGGTTCCATACCTAACGTAAAACAGAACCCTTACTTTACATAAGTACAAAAATGAAATATTAAAAAATCTATAAAAAATAACGATAAAATGAAATAAAACCAATAACTTTAATCATACAGTACATAAAAATATTGAATTAGAAATTGGAGCCGTGATAGCTCAGATGGTTAGCGCTCGCTGTTAATTTCCCAAACCGGGTTCGATCGAAATTGTTAATTGTTATTTTAAGTGCCACGTGCTCGGCGGTGAAGAAAAATATCGCGAGGAAACCTGCATGTCTGAGAAATAAGAAAAGAATATATTTCGAAGACATGTGATGTTCCCCACAAGTATTGGGGCAGCGCGGTGGACAATTCCTTGCTCTAAAACCCTCTCAGAAATGAGGCTGACTTTAACTTGTAACTTAAACATGAAACTATTAATTAACTATGTACATTCGTAATGAAAACAATATTAGTGTGTATTGTATTAACACACACATATTAAATGCATAATGTTTGTTATTGTGAAATTTATTAAATAAAAGTCTGAGAGCGAGCCGCGTAAGTCAAGAGAGCGTGGTCTTTCATTCGAACCAAACCACTCGTGCTATAACTCACGATGAATTTACGTGGTAGAGCCAAGCTGTAGCTGTAGCTGGAAGGACCACGCTCTCACAGAATACCAGCGTAAAATAGCAACATAATGCTGCTGTGTTTCGTATGGTGAGTGTAGAGAACGGGAGACGCTTTTTCCTGGAAACGATGCATTCCATCCAGTTCTCAGGGATGACAACGCATTTACGTTTTGATTTCTAATCGAGGATAAATATAGATATCTATGGTACACAGAATCCACTTACCATCAAGTAGAATGTGTTATTCTTAAAAAAAAAAACTATAATGTGGCTGCAGCATGGTTTTACCGTGTATACAGTGCAGTTTTCTAATTTGAAATAAAGGAAGTAGTAAAATAATCTTAGAGTTTTTTTCTTTAAATCCTCAGGACCAAGCCAAGTCGAATGACGAAAATCAAATAAAGGTGGAAAATGTGATAAGTGCTGACCCGGAAGAATCTAAAAAAGAACTTACACAAGAGTCAACAGAAATTTCAATTAAAACAGAACCGGGTGCGAATAACGGAAAATCTGATAGTAATGAAGTATCTAAAGGATCAGTGAGTTCATATTGGTGTTATTATTAGTTCGATCGATATTTTTAATTTATTCTTACACCTAACATAATATTTGTGTTTAATAATAATCTTAATGATTCGAGTTATCGAATACTAAGTACACACTACACATTAAATGAAACTAATCTTACGGATTTTATCGGGTTTGATTTGTAACATTCGTGGCTATATAAGAACTCATTAGGTATATGAATCAGTACGGACTTGAAATATAAATTCGCTGATTAGAATTACTTATTATTAGAATTTGTAGACTTAAAATTATAATTTGAGATCAAACGCGCAAGATAGGTTTAAATTTCTTGTAGATATGCAAAGACCATAATCTCATCCCTATGTGTGTTAAAACATCAACATTTATCAAGATTATTTTAATCGAAACTGACGTTCTTTAATTATTTCTTATATTTACGCGAACACTACACATTTAAATAAAACTAGTTTTTACGAATTTTAACGCGTATATTATACGATTATATACGCGTAAGCGTGTACGATACGATTTTACCACATTTTACTACTACCACATCGGGACGTCGAACACTTTAGTCCCCCCCCCCCCCCGTTACCATGGGTGCTGTTAAGTGTTCGAAAGGTCGGAAATATAAAAAAAAGTTAATATACGCGATAAAATCTATAAAAACTAGTTTTATTCAAATCCGACGTTCTTTACTAATATTTAATTATTTTCAAACTTTTGTAAACAAGTAGATACAAGAAGTGGGTTCGAATGCGCCATCCGACTACTGTTATGAACCTAGAACTCCTAGTACTCCTAGTAGTAAAGTGGTTAAAGGATGTATTAGTAGTGTTACCAATACATCTTACTTTTTTAAAAATAAATACCTTTGTAAATGCTATGTTAGATTTGAAATAGATTGACTTTGACACAATACATTTATAAAACTAATATTTGTCACGACGACCTGTCTTGACGGACACGAGTCATCTGCTCAGGACAAGATTATTATAGTGCACGATTGTATACACACACACACAGGTGCACTCACTATTCCCACACTCTCTAGTCAATCGACACGACCAGAGAGAGAGAGAGAGAGAGAGAGAGAGATCAGGCGCAGGACCAACGGCTTTACGTGTTTTTCCGAGGCACGGGGGTGAGAAACCGCCAACTTATTGACTCCGGGCTGAAAATTGACAGAAAAAAGATATTTGATTTCGGCCCGTGCCGTGATTCGAATCCGGGACGTTTATGACCACAAAAACAGTTTTGCAATATAAAAAAATTGACAATTCTTTTATCTAAACACGTTTTATGCTGCTGCCCATCTCTTGCTTCAGTTTTCCTCTGTCTTCTCTTACGACACTCACGGCACGATATGGGGCAGTGGATATTCTTACACTCCCAATAAACGGTAATGGAAACACACTTTTTATAGGGTGAATGGCAGCAACGTGAATTGGAACTTTTGAAAAAGATTGCGGAATTGGAAAAAGTCACGAGCGAGAGAAGCGAAGATGGTCTCCGTCTGGAATTAAAAGTTAGTACTGTTTAATTTTCAGAAATTGTTTTTTTTTAAAGACAGCAAAACAGAAAAGAAAAAAAACGCTTCCTTGTTTGTTATTAGTGAGTCATCTCTCTTGAAAATATTTGTACCGTAGTTCCTTCGTCGGAATAATAAGCAAAATTTTTCCGCCTTATTACAATAAGTACTTTATAATTAGTCTCAGCTTTGCAAATGCTGTTGTGTATCGTATGGTGAGTGTAGACAATGGAAGACCCTTTATATTGGTAACGAGGCATTCTATTTTATACCTCAGGGGTGACAGTCATTTATTTATTTATTCTTTATGGAATTCCTTAAAATAAAAGAATACCAAATACAGAATAATATAAAATAATAGAAAAGTTAAAAGTAACTGTAACTTTGACAGCCTATGTACGTCGAAATCCTGGGCATAGGCCTCTGCTCATTTCTGAGAGGATTTTAGGGCAAGGAATAGTCCGCCGCGCTGCCCCAATGCGTGTTGGCAAACTTCACACGCCTTCGAAATATTTGTTTTGTTATTTCTCAGACATGCAGGTTTCCTTACGATGTTTTTCTTCACTGCCGAGCACGTGGTAAATCAGCACTTAAAATTGAAATTAACAATTTCCCAATCGAACCCGGTTTGCTCGCGTACTGTGAAATTTACAGCGAGCGCTAACCATCTGAGCTACCACGGGTCCACTATAAATACCAAGGGCGGACTTAATGCCTTAAGGCATTCTCTACCAGTCAACCCATGGAGTGGTGAGAACTTGACGCAGGTGTAGCAATATAGAATAAAAACTTAATAAAATTAATGAATGATAAAAATTAACTACGTAGTATATTATACATTTTACTAATATATAAAATAAACTATACACATATATACATACTTTTGTATACATAAATATATATGCATATTAAAATACATATATAAATAGTACATATAAATAACTATGAATATATACGTCTGTTAACCATATGAATGACATGGATGACTATGTACGAAGCGTTGTCTTTTATAGATGCTTAGGCATCAACTTTTTAAAGGAAAACTTATTGAAAGCTTTTCTGATGTCATCGGGCAAGAAGTTCCGAAAGCGTGTGGCCTGAAATGTATTGAACTAAATCATTTTTTTATATCATTGGGTGACAAAAAAGCACTCACCTGATTGTAAGTAGATGCTGTGGCCCTTAGACATCCACATTTATCCTGAATTAAATATCAAAATTCAAATGCGTAGTCACCCCTGAGGATTAAGATGGAATGCCTAAATTTCAGTAAAAAGGGTCTCCATTTCTCTACACTCACCATACGAAATACAACAGCAATACGCTGTTATTTTACATTGGTATTCTGTAAGAGCGTGGTCCTTGCCCGGTCGAGCCATTCGTACTACAACTACAATATAGCTGCAGCCTGGCTCTACCGCGTAAAAAAATTTAATCGTGATTTAGGATAAATATAGATAGGTCTATGGGCCACAGCATCCACTTACTGTCAGGTGGACTGTGTGCTCGTTTCTTACTCTTATTCTATAAATAAAAACATGCCTACTTCGATATGCATATCATATGTATAAGTTGGTAACTAATTTTATTTGTACTACTTATCGTAATTATTAAGCTATTGCATAGCTTCTATCGCGGGCCTTGAGCGCGGGGACCGAATCCAGAAATTCCGTAACGAAAAAAACCTCACGCTCCCCACTCCGACGGGCACGGAGGTGTGGCGTTGAAAGCCGTGCATCGTCTAACGTCGTTTTAGTTCGGCAGACTTCGGCACGGTGTTTGTGTGCGTGTACACTAGCTGCTAACTCAATGATAAAAATTCCTGAATAACCTACATGTATTGTAAGATACTAAAAATATTTTAAACAATATTAACTTCTCATTTATTCAATAAGAGAAAAAAATTGTTTTCTTATCGGTCACCACGCTCAAAAAGTGTAACTTGATTTAATATCAAAGACTTAACTGCATAAATAAAATAAATAAATAATTATAATTGCATAAGTTGATAAAAAATGCTATGCAATAGCTTTACCGCGGCAGTCACCGAGTGCCACACGTATTTTTTTATTAGTATTTTATTTTACTTGGTATTGGTAAGGAAGATGTACATAAACACACACAAACAGACATTCTTTTAAAACAGTAGAATTTGATTGCATGGAGCTACTACCAGAAGATAAATATTTAATGTAACCATTGGAATAACTTCCAAGTGGGATCTAATGAGACGATATAGTTGTATCAAACTTTAATCAGGTTCGTGAGGAAGAAATAGATCTATTGAAAGCGCGAGTGAAGAACCTGGAGACGGAACTGCAGGCCGCGTTATCGAAGCCGAGCGGCAAGAACCACGAGATGATCGAGAAGATTAAATTGCAGCATGAAGAGGTAAGTATAATAAAGAGGATATCACACACACTCTCTGTTTCTTTTTTCGTTAAATGTACTTATTTAGGTACCACAAGTATTTTTACACTTAACTAGCTGGCCGGGCAGACGTTATTCTGCGTTTTCGATGACCCTTTGTCCTATAAAAAATCTTTAAATTCGCAATAAATATATTGATGGTCACTCGGGATCGGGGATCGGGATAAAAACTTTCCTATCTCTAAAGTTGGACCAAACTGCACACGGTGTGCAAAATTTCATTGAAATCAGTTCAGTAGTTTAGGAGTTCATCGCGGACAAACGATGTTACACGTAATTTTTTATTTTAATTAATTTTTATTTAGTCGTATTCGCTTGCTTAGCCTGGCAAGGTAAAGTACGGTAAAAACGAATATCTAAGGGAAAATTAAAAAAAAAATAGCGAAGTTGTAACATAAACTTTTTTTTATTGCTTCTTCAATAAACCCCTTTTACTGGAAACAAGGCATTCCATCTTAGTCCTCACGGGTGACAACGAATCTGAATTTTGATTCGTAATCGAGGATAGATGTAGACGTCTATGGGCCACAGCAACCACTTACCATCAGGAAACAAATAACAAAGAGCTTTTTCAAAAAAAAGTCGTGGGGTGCTTGTAAAAAATGGACTGTGTGCTTGTTTGTCACCCTATACTATAAAAAAACTCAAGTTCTAGATAATGAGAGCAGATAATAAGGAAATCATTTTTAATTAATTAAACATTTTCTTCTCAATTATTTTAATTTTATTATATAAAAAAAGAACAATCAATAAAAAGCATACTCGTTGCATTTCATTTACGATCGACATCTATCAGTGGACAGCTGTGGACTTTCAAACTGACAATTCAAATTTGAACCACTATTGGATTGTACACTAACTACGATTTCACGTATTTGAAATTTAAATAGGTTTGAATAAAATTCGATACAGTATTCTATTCTATCGGGAATAGGCCAGCAGATTCGAAATAATTTTAGTTTGAATAAAAACAGAATCGATTTCAAAAACGATGAGAGTTAGTAATCTTACGCTCACCAGATGTTACTTATTGGGATTAAGGTGAACTCATTTGTTGTGCAGATGGTCACATAGTGTCATCGGCATTGAAAAGTTGTTTTTTTTTTTTTTTTTTTATAGAATAGGGTGACAAACGAGCACACAGCCCTGATGGTAAGTGGTTGCTGTGGCCCATAGATATCTACATCTATCCTCGATTACAAATCAAAATGCAGATGCGTTGTCACCCGTGAGGACTAAGATGGAATGCCTCGTTTCCAGTAAAAAGGGTCTCCGGTTCTCTACACTCACCATACGAAACACAGCAGCTGCTGTATTTCGTATGGTGAGCTGCTATTTCACGCTGGTATTCTGTGAGAGCGTGGTCCTTCCCCGGTCGAGCCGACCCATTCGTGCTACAGCTATACTACTAATATAACTGCAGCATGGCTCTACACTATAAAGTTATAAGTTATAAGTTGTGACTTAATTTTAAGTTTTTCGGTCTTTAGTGTATGTATAATACTCAAAACAATGCCTCAAAAAGTTAAAAATCCCGTCCCACTCCTGGGCACAGGCCTCCGCTCATTAATGAGAGGGGTTATAGGGCGAGTTATTATCCGCCGCGCTGCCTCAATGCGTGTTGGCGAACTTCACATGTCTTCGAAATATTTTTTTTTTCTTATTTCTCAAACATGCAGGTTTCTTCACGATATTTTCCTTCACCGCCGAGCACGTGGCAGATCAGCACTTAAAATTGCAAATAACAATTTCATTGGAACCGGCTGGGATCGAACCCGGTTTGATCGTGTACTGTGAAATTTACAGCGAGCGCTAACCATCTGAGCTACCACGGCTCTAAAAGCAATGTCTCAGTGCTGTATTTTTTAATTTTTTTCAATGCTTTTTTATTCTTCTACTTTTAGGAATATATTCATACTTTAGTTTATCTATTTTTAATCTATTTCATATAAAATACAACTAATATTTCAGAAAGAAACATTAATCTCTACACTTTTATAATAAATTAACTTCCCTCGCTATGAAATCTGTCCAATTTTTTACTTCATTCCTAAGTCGCATTACCTGCTGGTTTTGGTTGGGATTAAAAAACAAGAAACAACGACTTAATCACTAGGCTCAGACCATAAGTCTACTAGATTGCAGAAGTACTATTTATTAATCGGTACGTGACAATGAACAGTCACTTATTTTACAATTGTAGTTGCTAAGCAAAGCCCGCGGCATGATATTCGACAAAACGAAGATGGTGAAGAACCAGGAGCTGCAGATCCAAGCTCTGACTACACAGGTGGCTTCGCTAAAGGACATTAACATTATCACGAAGGACTTGCTCGATATCAGGAATTCCGAAGTCAAAGCTATGGAGGTATATATCAGCTTAGAAATTTAGTTCTTATTATAATTACACATAGTAGATCCACACTGCAGCTTTATTATAATTGTAGCACGATTAATAATACAATGAGAGTCACGGTGCAGATTGATACGTTCCACATCATACATCTAGACCGCGAACATTTATTTGTAGGCCATACAAATACTTGTTCCGTGTGGGATTCAAACCCGCTACCCTCAGTGCTGTAACTTAATGATAACTTAATGGATCCGTCAATTTTATATGAAGTACCTATGTTATTGCTGTTGCATGTTCAGATCTGATTTCGACTACAAGTTTGCTAGTGTGCAAGAGACCGTTAAAAATGTATTCAAATTATTAAACATGTCATTTTCAACAATCACAAACACCTATTTTACATCGAGCTAAATAAAAGGCGTTATGTTTCAGGAGCGTTTTCAAGCGATGGATGCGCGTTACAAAGCTGAGAAGGAAAGATACAGTCTTGTGCTACAAAGAGCTCAGACCAGCACCAATATTAATGACGACCTGCGTAAAGAATATGAAACGCAACTCGCTATATTTAAGGTAGGTTTTTCTTTAGCGTATTGTTCTTATAAGACTATTAATGATTACTTGTGGTTGCCTAGTCATTGAAATTCGAAACTGCTAGTACAATATGATAATAAAAAATAATAAAACAGATTTCTGATATAAAAATATAAAAACATTTTTTTGCCTTGTCATATGCTCCAAGGACTATTAAAAATGGTACAGTAATTTATTTGTTGGCAACATTTTAAAATTTTTATGTGACAATTTCTACTCTGTGCGACTATTTGACTGCAAATTATTAAGTACTCTTGAGACATTGGCAGTATGAACGTCAAATACGACAGAATTTGTACAAGAGACAATTATATGTTGGCACTGGTGTACGTAAACAATCAATGTTTTATTTTATTATATTTAATGTATTTGTTACACATATTATATATAAATAAATGAAAAAAAAACCTTTCCAAATGATAGCTTCTGAAGTCGATACAAACAGTGTAGAGACGAATTAAATCTCTTACCTAAAAGTTATTTGATCAGGGTTTCTTTTTTCCCTCAGTGTCTGTCCTAAGGAATAACAGTATGACAGTGTACCTATAGTAGTGTTATAATGCCTTCTATGTTTGGAGTTCGCTGCTGTTTATGGGCTATAGTGGCCAATAACCTTACGGCAGGTAGTCAGATCGTTTGTGACGTTCATCAACATCATCGTCGTCATACTTTTTTATTTTTGGTTAAAATTTCCAATACCGTTTTTTGTAGATAGCACTCGCTAAAAGAAATCGTTTTGCAAAGTTTTAGGTTGCGGAAACTTACGGTTCATGAGATATTTTTTTAACTTTTCTTACAATTTGACAAATAACACGCAATTACAAAATAAATTGGACAAATAATGGCCAACATTTTTTCTAATTTATGAAATTAAATTATAATATTTACAATTAATACTAATTACACACAATATATAAAAAGAAGAAACTATGATATAGAAAAACTAACATTAAAAGTTATTTAAATAGACAAATAATTGATGTCAAACGTCAATCACTTTACGTTTCAATTAGTGTAGGGTTCCGAAAACTTTGAAAGTATCGATACCTACTCGATACCAAGTATCGCATCAAAAGTATCAATACTATTTGGTATCGAGTACATTTCGTTAATTTTGGAGACTTTAACTTTCCAATATGGGCCATCGATATATGAAGTTTTAGGGGAGGGAGGGGGGAGGGGGATGGCTACCCCCTGTGCCATCCCCACCCTGCGGCACCTCATAGTTTTGGAGATATTCATGGTTAAAATTTATTATATTATTTATTATTATTCTCGTTTCCGTATATCTGATGAAATCGAGGGGGAGGAAACATGGGGGAGGAAGAGTGAAATGAACTAGATTTAATGAAGAAAAGGGTGGAGCTTATGGGTGTTTGGGAAGTGGTGTGGTTGGTGAGTGCGGCGGGGAAGTGAGGGGGGGGGGGTTAGAAGTGTGGAAGTCGTGTTCCGGCGCTCTGTGGTAGCTCCGGCGCTGCGGGATGAGCAGTCCCTCCGCCCTAGCGTAGGGAAGCGCAGGCACCGAGCTCGCCTTCGCAGCGGTTCGGCTTTTTGGTCGCCGTCGGCGACCAAAAAGCCTCAGCTGGATGGCGATCTCAGGTGCCTGCGCTTCCCTACGGCAGGCGGGCACTGCTCTCCCTCCGCCTCCGGGCTCTTATATACACTCTAGGGGTAGGGCAGACAATACCAACGTGGATAGTGGGGTGCTCTAATTCGGTTTTGGGTACTTTTTGGATATTAAATAAGTAAGTAAACGCTTTATTGTAGTAAAACTAGTAAAGTAAAGGTAAAGTTACAGCCTATATACGTCCCACGGCTGGGCTCAGGCCTCTCCTCATTTCTGAGAGGGTTTTAGGGCAAGGAAGTGTCCGCCGCGCTGCCCCAATGCGTGTTGGCGAACTTCACATGTCTTCGAAATATTTTTTTTCTTATTCCTCAGACATGCAGGTTTCCTCACGATGTTTTCCTTCACCGCCGAGCACGTGGTAAATCAACACTTAAAATTGCAATTAACAATTTCATTGGTGCCGGCGGGGATCGAACCCGGGTTACTCGCCTTCTGTTATATTTACAGCGAGCGTTAACCACTGAGCTTATTATTATTATTGTAGTAAGAACTAGATAATACAGAAAGTTGCAAACAATGAAATACAAGTAAGAGTAAACTTTATTCTATTTTATATACATATTTAATTGCACTTATCAGCACTTCATATGCATCTAAATGGTTTGTCATAATTTTTAGTCTCCAAAATTAATGAAATGTACTCGATACTACGTAGTAGATACTTTTAATGCGATACTTGGTATCGAGTCGGTATCGATACTTTCAAAATTTTCGGAACACTACACTAATCGACGTTTGACATCAATCATTTGTCAATTTATTTTGTAATCTTATTTGCTAATTTGTATGAAAAGTTTAAAAAAATATATCTCATGAACCGTAAGTTTCCGCAACCTAAAACTTTGCAAAAGGATTTCTTTTAGTGAGTACTATAACAAAAAAAAAAATATGGGCTTTGTTATCGATGGTCCATATTGGAAATATTAGCCTTATTTTTTTTTAAAGTATAATAGTAATGCTATTGTTACCAGATTGGGGTTTGTGACAATAAAATCTGTCGATTGAATTACCAAAATTGACACTTTAATTACAGAACACCTATTGCAACTTAAAATACATTAATAATAAAACAAAATTGTACTACTGATCACTTTAGTTCGCAGTTGTATCGCTTCGAAGTATTATTCGCTTGAATTGCCAATTCAATACCGACCGGGGTTGCGGTCTATAACGGCCTTATATAGGGCCTCTTCTACTGAAACATCTAGAATGTTCGAGTACATACCTTTCCCGACTGACTAGGTGTAGAAAGTTCTAGCATGGAAATTTCTAGAAAGATGTTGCCTAGCTAGTAGTAACTAATGTTGCCATGTACCAGGCATTAATTATGGTACGCAACCCTATTTAACATTACTAATACTCTCGTTAACCAATCTACTTTAATCTTAGAAATGCTTGTGTTAAGAATGATACTCCATAGTAGTCGAATGGTGGATTCAAACCCTCGACTCTTTGAGTTTGCAGTCCGAACACTACCATAAGGCTACTGTCGCTTTAAAAATCCTTAAATCCCATTATAATTCCACTGCTGAACAAAGGCCTCCAATAAGAAATGCCACATAGCACGGTCGTGAGCCTGCATGCGTCGAGCTCCTGCGTCTCTTACCAGGTTGTCCAGCTAGAGGGAGTCTGCTCTGACTTCACTTAACGGTACAATGCTACTACTTGAAAACCATTCGTCCCCATCGGTTCTTTAAGCTATATGTCCGGCTAAGCTATATTTTGGCATTACGGTTATTGAAATTATAGGCTTTCTATCACATTGAGTCGATACTAATCAGCTATCACTACTGGTTTTAAATGAGTAAACTTGGGGATACTTTCTTTTCGGATCCTTTTCAATTGGAGTGTCCGATTAATAGACTAGAGAATAAATAGGATTGTTGAAATAACATGGATGATCTGTTGAATACTGGAAATACCGATTATGATAATTCTATTCGCAAAGAAATTCTTGTGACACTTTTTTAAAATTTCAGGAATTGCGAGAGAAATACGAAGAGAGAGTTCAAGCGTTAGTAGCTGAGAACAACAGACTCAAGGAGTCCATTAAAGGCACTACATCCGGATAATTTTACTATCTATTCTAAACTCAAAAATATATAAAGACTGCTCTTAGAAGTATTTCGGCAGATATTTTTTATAGAGTATGAATTAATTGTATAACTAATTGTGTTTAAAGAAGTAAATATAAACATGTTTGCAATTATTTATAACGACTTTGTTTTGATTTTAAAAATATATTTATGTTTGACTATTGTGTAAATAATTAAACATTATAATTAGGTTTAAAAAAAAATTGTATTATTATGAAATGCAAGACAGAGTAAAGCCGGCAACGCACCTGCAATTCCCCTGGTGTTACAGATGTTCAACGGCGACGGTGATCACAGTTTAGTAAGCTTTACGCAAGTTTGCCTTAAAAAAACAAGACATATTTCTCGAACTTACCTTGCCGTAATGGTTACACTTGGTAGCCGTCACACAGAGATCTATGTTAAAAAAATGATCTCAAAAACAAGTAAGCTCAGATTAATAAAGAGAGTAATAATAATAATAATAATAATTTCTTTATTCAGGAAAATTTTTAACAATATATGTTTGCATCTGCTCCTGAACTAAGCAATAAGCTTGTATCTCAGGCAACAGTGCTCTTTCTTATGGGACAATTTAACAGAAATCTTTCCGATTAAGAAACTTACGTAAACATATTATATCAAACAATAATATTATTTAAAGTATGAAAATTAAACCTACATATATAACTAAATATATTGTTGTGTGTAAATTGTTCCTCTCGTATGTGGGTGCGTGCTAGTGTATGTGGGTGCGTGCTAGTGTATGTGGGTGCGTGCTAGTGTATGTGGGTGCGTGCTAGTGTATGTGTGTGTGTGTGTGTGTGTGTGTGTGTGTGGGTGTGTGTGTGTGTGTGTGTGTGTGTGTGTGTGTGTCTGTGTCTGTGTCTGTGTCTGTGTGTGTGTGTGTGTGTGTGTGTGTGTGTGTGTGTGTGTGTGTGTGTGTGTGTGTGTGTGTGTGTGTGTCTGTGTCTGTGTGTGTGTGTGTGTCTGTGTCTGTGTCTGTGTGTGTGTGTGTGTCTGTGTCTGTGTCTGTGTGTGTGTCTGTGTGTGTGTCTGTGTGTGTGTCTTGTGTGTGTGTGTGTGTGTGTGTGTGTGTGTGTGTGCGCGTGCGCGTGCGCGTGCGCGTGCGCGTGCGCGTGCGCGTGTGCGTGTGCGTGTGCGTGTGCGTGTGCGTGTGCGTGTGCGTGTGCGTGTGCGTGTGTCTCTGTGTCTGTGTCTGTGTGTGTGTCTGTGTGTGTGTCTGTGTGTGTGTCTGTGTGTGTGTCTGTGCGTGCACGTGCGCGGACGCGTGCGCGTGCGCGTGCGCGTGCGCGTGCGCGTGTGCGTGTGCGTGTGCGTGTGCGTGTGCGTGTGCGTGTGCGTGTGCGTGTGCGTGTGCGTGTGTGTGTGTGTGTGTGTGTGTGTGTGTGTGTTTTAGTGTGTGTGTGTGTGTGTGTTTTAGTGTGTATGCAAGGGAGAGGGTGAGTAGTATACATTAAAGTAATAATTATAATAAGAACATATAATTTAATGGTATATTAATTATACGTTATAGAAGTAAATTAGTTATTTAGGGATTTCAATAATACTTCTGTTTCATCATAATCTAGTTTTTGAAGCCATTTGAATAGGGTTTTTTTTTTTACATTGATTCTTATTTAAAATGTATAAATTTAGTTGCTTATTTATTTTATTGTACAAAAATGGACCAAGAAAACAAAAATATTTATGTGCATACCAATGTTTAAAGGTAGCAGTAAGGCACACTTTGTCGGATCTTCTCTTTATTAATTGAGATGAGATAAAATTTATTAACCCGTGTTGCTTTAAAATCGTCAGATAAATGTATAATTGTCGGACTGTTAATACTTGGCAGTGTTCATTAGTTCATATGTTGGATATAGAATGGGTAGAAAAGTACAAACCTTTAAAACAGCTCTCTGAGCTTTTTCCAGTGGAGCTAATGTAGTTTTTGGGGCTCTGCCCCATATTGTTATACCGTAAGTTATAATAGATTGACACAATGCAGTGTATATTTGTTTCACTAGCTCAGGTTTAGCTACATGCCTCAGAATTTTAAAGACATAAATAAGTTTTCGAACTCGGGACGTTAAAACCTCTAAATGATCTGTAAATTCAGTTGATTATCTATAAGAATACCTAAATACTTAACACAGTTGGTTTTGGATAAATATAGGCAGGTACACGGTAATCCTAAATGTTTTATTAAATTTAAACAAATGTGAGCAGTTAACTTATAGTTGATAGTTGATTGAGCATCACTTGTCATGGAAAAGGTAATATATTTAGTTTTTTCAATATTAAGAGATAGGTGGTTACTACGTAACTATACTGAGACAACATCAATTCCAGTTTGAGCGTTATCAAAAGCCTCCTTCCATGTACTTGCTGAGAATAGGAGTGCTGTGTCATCAGCATATGATATGAATTTGCCATGGAAGGATTTAAGTTTTAAGAGGTCATTTATGTAGACGAGAAATAGAATTGGGCCCAGAATACTCCCCCTGAGGAACTCCGTAGCTAACAAGTACATCAGAACTACATTGGTTATTTATTGTAACACATTGTCTTCCAGTTAGATAGCTTTCAAATAATTTTAGTTGTGTACCCCGTATACCAATTTTTTCAAGGTTCCTTAGCAGAACGGGGATAGAGACCGTGTCGAACGCTTTGGCAAGGTCCAGAAAAATCCCTACCGTTTTATTGCCTTTGTCTAGATTTTTGATGATATTATCGGTTAATTCGTGTACTGCATCATTGGTAGATTTTCCGGATCTAAACCCGTATTGACAGTTTGATAGAATATTAAAGTTCTCTAGGTATTTTACAAGTCTGATATTAATAAGATTTTCCAATACTTTTGAAATAGAAGGAAGTATAGAAATAGGCCTATAATTATTCACACGGTCTCTATCTCCAGATTTATATATGGGGTGAATTATGGATTTTTTTTAAATAATTAGGGAATATTCCGTTCGCGAAACATAAATTAGTTAATGGTGGGATTAGGACATGTCGAAAAGTTTTTAGAAAGTTATTAGAGATTTTGTCCCAACCAACTGTACATTTTGATTTTAAATTTATAATAATGCGTTCTATTTCGTCCACGTCAGTAGATAATAATACAAACGATTCTCTTGTTGTATCAAGGTTAATTTGTAATAATTATTGTTTTTCTACAACACTTTTTTCTGCGATGTTTTTCCCAACAGTTGCAAAGAAATTATTAACACTATTTAAGGAGTCTTTACAGTCAGTTTTCAGTAATTCCTGAGACGATGATTTCTGTTTAGATGTGTGTAATATATGTAATAGTTTTAATGGGTTCCCACACTTTTTACTGTCTTTACCCGCTAATTCTAATTGTGTTTTCTCATACTCTCTTTTAAGCTTTTTTAATAAACTATTGCAATAATTTCTGTATCGTGTATATGTGAGTTTAAGTACTATATTTTCTGGTGCAAGTTTTACTTTCAGATGCATTTGATCCCTATTACGCATACATCTTATTAGGCCGGGGGTTATCCATGGCTTAATGCTTTTTAATCGTCTAGATGTATATACTATGCTTGTATTTTGTTCTATTGCAGTTTTTAAAGGTGTAACTAAAAATTCTGTACAAAAGTTAGCGTCATTTGACTTATATATTGTTTCAAAGTCTATATTACCCATGTCCGCAAGTAATCCTTCATGATTTAATTTAGTTCTATGTTTTAAAGAGGACTTTTTAATTTCATTCTGATTTAAGCACAGGAGCACTGCTTGATGGTCAGTTAATGTAGAAGTAATCACCAATGTAAGAGCTGGCTTTTTTGTTTTGAGCAAGACGTGGTCGAGACACGTTTTATTTTCCCTTGTTGGACAAGTGTGGGCAGGTAATAAACCATGGCTAGCACAAAGATTAAGATAATCGTGAGCTCTTTTATCTCTATTTTCTGGTCTAATGTCTATGTTTAGGTCACCTATAATTGATATGTTTTTAAAAGTTGATAAATTTGACAAAATAACGTTAAGGTAGAGATTAAAAGAGTCCAATTTGCAGTATGAAGGCGAACGATATATAGCTATAATTGCAGTTTCGAGACCGAGTTTCATAACAACAGTTTCCTTCTAGAAATGTCGGTTCTTCAAAAGTAATGTTGATATCAGATTTTGCATATACCACGATTCCGTCATTCTGCAATGCATGTTTTGTTGTTGCATGACTACTATATCCATTTAAATTAGGCAATAAAGGATCAGAACCAAGCCAGCTTTCAGTCAGAATAATAATGTCACAGTCAACCTTAAGTCTTTTCAATAATACTGTGAAACCATCAAAATTTTTATTGATACTGCGAATATTTTGAGTAATAATAATAATACTATTGGGTTGGCCATGTAGCAATAGTTTAGTTTGCTCAACTTCACATATGGCAGATTCAGATACAGAAATTTGATCAAGTTCATCTCCTATATCTTCATCCATTTTTATAAATTATATGGCATTTAGGTTCTAGTTTAAAGAGTTCTACTAAGTAAATTAAATTGATGAGAGAGAGAGTAATAAGTTGAGAGCAATGTTATTAAATATATAAATAGAATTTTTATAAGTAATGGTTGTGTATTGTGTAAGTGTGTAGTGGTATGTTGTGGATTTATAAATATAAAAGAGTATCATTAGCATGTAGAGTGTAGAGTAGTTAAAAAAGTAATAAGATAATGTGTACAGAACAAGATAAAAAAATGAATAATCTAGGCTAGTACAATACGTTATTTGAATAATTAGTAGTAAAAACATTTTTCTTATTATATACACTATAAACTGGAATGATAGTCATATGTTGGCTTCCTTTATCTTTAATGGCAGACTGTAGGCTTTCTAGTTTAATATTTTGTTGCTCAGTGAAATTATTAAATAAACTGCGAATTTCGTCCATAAATCCAGATCCTTCGATCTCCCGCTTACGTTTCTGTCGTAACTTATTATTCTGCGATTCTTTTTCCATTACCAC